AAAAAAAAAAATTTGTCCCGACACTTTATCCTCTATGCGCAAAAGGCTACCGTATTTAAAAATATGCTATTTTTTTATTAAAATTCTAGGTTATGTATTTTATTTTATTTTAAAATATTTTATTAGGGGAATAAACTGACTTTCATGAATATTATATAATTTCATTGACATAGAATAAAGTTCATAAGACATATGATATTATACTTATTAACATTTTTTACTTTTTTAAAGTCGAAAAAGTAATTTTTAAATTTGAGTTAGCTTAAATAGCCAATTTTATCATGCAACAAAAATCAACGAATAGTTGCCGAATGGGTAACACCTTGATCTTTAACGCCTAGGGTACGAGGTTCAAATCCGTTTGTGGCTTCTAAAATTTTGCATTTTTTTTTTGAGTTAGAATAGAATTTTCAAATCATTTGATATTTATCTCATTTAGATTCAATAATTTCAATAAATATAAAGGATCTTATCACTAAAGTCTCCCCTAGTGAGAAGAAATTGATATTCATGATAATATTATTTTACTATGTGGTTCTTTTTCTGGCTACGATTTATTTTGCCAACCCTCACTAGACCTACTTTTTTCAACGATACGTCAAATGATTCATTTAAGTTTATGATATTTAAGTTAATGATTAGTTTAAGTTATTACTCTTAAAAATCAAAAAAATATTCCTTATTCAAATAAAAAGTAGCTTAACTAGATTTGTCCATACAAACAATTAAAATCATTAATTTTTAATATTCTTAAATTATTTATTGTCGAATTAAATTTGATATGATAAAAGTATTCAACTACAAAAGTAAATAATTTTACTTTATAATTTATTAATTTTTTAACTCTATTTCTGTGTGCTACTACCAGTCTATAATATGCCAAATTTTTTAGTAATATTTTGCTATATAAATCATAAATTTAAAAAAAAAATGATTTTTAGTTTCACCTGAAGTTAACGATGGAGTTTTACAATTATAATTATATTTTTGATAATATGCTCAATTGAGTAAATCTTTTTAACTACTTTGGTTTGATTGGTTCATTTAATTAAAGTAAATTATTAAAATTAATTAAGTTCTGAATATTTCAATTGCAGAATTTTTTTAAACACCAAAAGTTATTAGGATATGATTACTATTCTTTCTATTTCAGTTATCTATTACGATAAAAATGTAAAAAAATCGAATTTTTCTGACAAATGTACTGTAATTAGTAATTATAAAATTTCCAGATTGCATATTAATCTTAAAAATTTCATTTTTTTCAATTTAATAATGTCAATTTCAAACTTGCAAGTTGAACTATAAGTTATGGTAACAAATTCATTTTTTAGCTTCGATGCGAAGCTGAGAAGGTATTTTTCATTAAAACTTTCACTTTAAAAGACAATAAAAAATAGGTTCAAAATGATTACCTTTAACATATTAAAAATCAAAATCAGTATTAATTTAATACAATTTTTTTTGTTCTTAATTATTTTTTTTTATATGTAAATACTTATTTTTTAATAATAAGTAATAATATTAAAACTTAGAAGTAATAGAAAAAGTTTAATTGCACATTTGAAAACATCACGAAAAGTTTATTTAGAAAAGTATATTTTTTTTCTGATGAAAGTTCCTTTTGTTTAGTGTATTTATTCATAAGTAACAAAATTTTTTTATTAAAAAGTATTGCATAAATTCCTTTAAATTTGTATACGCATTAAAAGTATATGAATATACAACTCCTTTTTATTTTTATAATATCTCCGTAAAAATTACAATATTATATTATTGAATACCACTTTCATACTCAATTTAATTACTGTAATTATTATGTATTCATATATTATAGTTATAAATCGGGGTAAAATTAAGGGAATAAGTGTTATTGTTGTTTTTGAAATAATCTACCAATTTCATTTTTTTCTATTTAATAATATTTATTTCAAACTTGCAAGTTGAGTTAAAAGTTATGGTAATAAATTCATTTTTTTTTTATTAAAACTTTCACTTTAAAGAACAAAAAGAAGTAGGTTCAAAATGATTACTTTTAACATATTAAAAATCAATAATAATTTGAAAATAATTAATTATAAAAATTATATAATATATAATTAAAATAATTACTAATCTGGATATAATTAAGGAAATAGGAGTTGATGTTGGGTTGGGTTGGTTACATTTTTAACTTTATAATGCTATAACTCATTGAAAAGTGTACGAATCAACACAATTTTTTTATGAGAAATAATATTTTTTAATAATCCCTTTTTCATTCGACATACTTTATCTTAATCAGGGTATTAATAAGAAACTAGCAGATAATGTAGCTTTTGTAATTATCCACCAATTTCTTAGAATTAAACACTATCTACTGATTTGCATCGAAGCGTTTCTTATGATAGTGATTTTAATCACTGTCAGATTAAATCTATACTGGACCCAACTATGCAACATCCCCACTATGCCGCGACCCCACTGTGCTGGGTTTTTTTTTTTTATGTCTGTTGCCACTTTTTCTCAGCTCTCACTGGACCGATTTCTTTCAACAATACGTCAAAATATCACAAATCGTAAAAAAAAAAAATTGTCCCGACGATCTATCTTCTATGCGCAAATGGCTACCGTATTCAAAAATATGCTATTTTTCTATTAAAATTCTAGGTTTTGTATTTTATTTTATTTTAAAATATCTTATTAGGAGAATTTATTGACTTTCATGAATTTTATATAATTTAATTGACATAGAATAAAGTTCATAAGACATAAGAAATTAAACTTATTAAATTTTTTTTACTTTTTTAAAGTCGAAAAAGTAATTTTTAAATTTGAGTTAGCTTAAATAGCCAATTTTTTAGCTTCGATGCGAATTTTTTATACGTAAATACTAATTTTTAATAATATTAAAACTTAGAAGTGATAGAAAAAGTCTAATTGCACATTTTAAAACATCGCGAAAAGTTGATTTAGAATGGTATATTTTTGTTACTGATGAAAGTTCCTTGTAGTTCAGTGCATTTATTTATAGTAACAAACAGTTTTTATTGAAATTTATTGTATCAAGCCCTTTACATTTTTATACACGTAAAAATAAAGAAAAATACAACTTCTTTATTATTTTTATAATTTCTCTGTTTAAATTACAATATTAAATTATTGAATATCAATTTCATACTAAATTTAATAATTATAATTAGTATTTAATCATATATTATATTTTTAAATCAAAGAACTACTAATTAGGATATAATCAAAGAAATAAGAGTTGATGTTCCTTTTGGAATAATCCACCAATTTCTCTAAATGAAACACTGTCTACAGATTTGCATCGAAGCGTTTCATATGATAGTGATTTTAATCACTGTCAAATATCATCTATACTTGTCCCATCTATGCCTTGTCTACACTGTGCCTCGACCCCACTGTGCTACCGTTTTTTAACTAATTGTATTATTAACTGAAATGATGAAGAAACTATATATATTTTTTATTCAATATTGATAAAAAAAGACTAATTATTATAAACATTTCAGTCAATATTAAAAAATTATATTTATATAGAAAACAATTTTATACAGTAAATAATTATTATAACAAATTAAGTGTTTAGAAAATATAATAATAATTATTATTAAATTACTAATATTTTTATCTTTGATCAGAGGCGTCAATTGAGGGGTAGTAACTAGAACATTCGCGCCATTATAATTTTTAGTCAAAATTAGAGATTCCAATCCATACTCTTGCTAATCAGATCATACATTGACCTAGTCATTCCCTGTTAAGAGCTAACCTATAATAATCTAAGAAATTCAGTAAAAAAGAATTCTTAGATATTATATATTGGATCTAATTTTTGAGATGATTGTTAATTAAAAAGTTTCTTTTAATAATAATTTCTTTATTTCTTAAGATTTTATAATGGAAATTCATATTTTTTCACAAAAAAAAACATGTATTTTAATTCTAAACAATTGGTTCGAAGAAAAAGAATACTTTAAAATAAATAACAATAAGTAACAAATAACATTTATAAAAATAAATGGAAATAAAAAATCAAATTTATAAGTTAGCTTAAAAGCGAATAATTATTGACTTAAATATCGTCATTTTCAAAAATATAGTCGTAAAAAACATGTTGCAATTTTTAAAACATTGATATAGTTTTTTCTAACCACAATTTTAACCAACCGGGACAATAGTTTAAAAGCCATCTTTCAGGTATTAACTTTGAAATTTACTCATTGAGTGGTATCATCAGACCGATGTTTGGTGTATCGCTTAGTATTAACAACTTCGACATCTAATAGCTAAGAAAGACATCAAATTTATAGTTTTGGGATAGTTTATTTTTAGTCGACGTCAACTGCTGTTGATAACCCATTTTTATAGTAATATGTTTCAATTTGGTCATCATAAGAACTCGATCAGTTTTATCCTTGATTAATACCTCACTTTTTTGGATAACTTTGATGTCTCTATGCAAAATGTTAACATCAAATAACTCTTTAATTGCAGACAAACCTGTTTCATTTAGATTTTTGCAATCAACTAGATATAGACATTCTGGCCAATTTTTAGTTTCAACGATAGAGTTTGTATCAAAAACCTAAAATAAAAGTATTATTGAATATTATCATTACTTTTGACAAAGTGTTCATTATAATACTCAAATATATAGTGTAATTATTAGCGCTCAACAAATTAGTATAAATTTAAAAAATAACAATGATTTTGTCGTCAATAATATAACAGGCGCGTTTTTCTATCTCTTATGTATGACTAAGTGTTTATTCATAATTTAACTATGATTTCCCTAAATAAACCACAAACCACTAGATATAATGTTTTTAGTATACCTGCCTACTCGGAAGTCGGTTCAATAAAATGAAAAGTATCCTTGACTATTCTGTAACCATTCATAACACATTTTAGTGGCGGCTTAAATTATTATTGTATTTAGGAGGACGTAATAAAAATTTATTTGTTTATTTAAAAATGTATTATCCTACTCTCAAAATAAATTTTTAATATTCATTATATTTATTCAAGTTTCCCAAAACAAAAAAAAAAAGTGATAATGACTCGAAATTAATTAATTAAAATAATATTCGTATTAAGTTAAATTAAATGTTTGTTATAATTGTCTCGTTTTTGTCAAAACAATAAGAATTATACTATAAAAATAAATTAAATCACCCCATTTTTTTACTTCTGGAAATTTTAAAATTAATTCTTTTTTTGTTTAATTTCAGCAAAATTGTTTAACGTTATGCGTGTAATCTTCATTATACGAATAACAATAATAAGCATGCGTCGTCTAATGCGGAGTTTATCATTGAACTCTTCTTTGGTGAACACATACCTTCTATATTACAATTAGATACATTCTAAAGCAAAAACATCATCATGTTATTATTGTTCAGATTTCATGGCAAAACAATTTTTTTTAATAATATTAATAACCATTATGAACATTTTTGAAAAAATTACTGAAATTAACTACTTTTGTATATTAACAATTTACTTTTTAATTATTGTTAATTTTTATCATACACTGAAATCTTAATTAGATTAAGTATACAACGACATTGATTGAGTAGGACATGCATTTTAGTACACATTATTAATGCATGAATCACATCTATAAATTAACTAATATTGAATAAAAAGTAAAAGAAAAATCAAAGATGTGTCAAAAATATTGCTTATTGAAAAATATCACTCTTTTGGGTCTATAACATTCTATGATATTTCTCTGCTAAAAAAGTATTGCTTATGTTTGCCAATTAAAATATGTGTTTGAGTGGGATAAAGATTACACAAAAATGTATGAGTAAAATTATCCGGGGGACACACCATAGACTAGTTATCAATCAAGTGGGGTATTCGCGTTGACCTCTTCAGTAAATACCACACAAATTCTCACTGTATACCATATAAATATGCAACGTTTACGGTTTAAGCTGTATCGAACGACTGTAGGAACTTCCCTAAAAGAAAAGTAATGTATTACACAACTAGAGTTTACACCAAAGAGTAAACGACCTTGTACCCACTTCAATTTCACCAGAAAATGTGTCGATTCTTTACATGCTTTACAAATAAACTTATAACAAAATGCGCTTGTTGACCGTGAACTTTACTCGTAATACAATGCACGTGTATACAGACACAAGCACATCAAAATAGTATTGACATATGTACATAATACCTGTTCTTTGTATTTAGGTAGCAATATATGTATTTTATTATTATGTATTTTATACCTCGAAAGTAAGACAATTTAGATAACAAACATTTTATTTTATTTCAACTCTTTCGAAATAATAAGTATTTTCGTTAAAATCAACATTATATTTTCTTCGCTGTTGTTATGACATTCATCATAGGATCCACAATATATTCAAATTTATTCTTATACGATATTATATCAATATTTTGGGTAATGTATTTTAATATATATTTTTATGAATAATTTTAAGTAATAAAAAGTTATTTTATATTTTGTGACATCTAATAGGTATATATCTAATACGTAAATCACAGTTTAAAATTAATTATAAACAATAAAGTTGACTTTAACACGATGAATTCTGGTGAAGTCCTATGACGTAAAATTTTACTTTTTCAATGTCCTAAAAAAATTATTGCTCAATGTCTGTTTGCTTAATAGTAAACGACTTGATTGATACTCGTATATACTTACCCTACCTTATCTATTCGAATACACACGATTAAGACAATAAATATCAAGAATGTTTAAAAACAAATAACAAAAAAAAATCAGTAGTACTTGGCGTAAATAAACAGACAGAAATGGATGAATAGCAATAAAAACTCGTTTATGTACTGGCTTGTCTTGACTTAAAATAGATTGAACCAGAATAAATGAAAATTCACATATGCACAGAACCCGCCTAAGACAAAAAATATATTTTAAAATCACTAACCAGTCCACAATGTGCAGCATTATTATTATGAATAATAAGAAGCCACGCACTATAGACGACCGTGGTATTGGCACTAGAATCCACAGGTAATGCTCGTTGAAGGACATAAATCTTTGGGAACGTCACACTAACCAACTTTTAAAGAGTTTGCTTCCACTTAATGTGTATGCTTCAGTTTAATTACTTAAATTTAGCATGTTTTTTGCTTAATACATCAGCAAAAAAAGAATTATTTTAACAAATTCTTTAACCATAAGCGCAATCTTGGAACAAATTTAAGGGCTTAAATGTCCCCCTCCCCACACCAAAAAAAAAATATATATATATGAAAATTACACGTACTCATAATTAAATTTAGGGATAAAAGAAATTAGACTTTACAAACATTTTGTGCAAATGTATGGCCTTATTTAAATTGATATTTTAATCATACTATAAATAATTTTATCTTAGATAAATTTATCTACATTTGATACTTTGGAGAAAACTTAAAAAATTAATTTTAATACCTATTCATTTTTACGACAACTGTATGGATCATTATCTAATTTTTATTTAGTTTTAACGGCCTCCTCCAAAAAGAAAGTTTCTTAAGCTTAAATACTCCAAAGCAGATGATTATTTCATCGCTGGAGAGAACATGATGACTCCAATTACTAAACTGATTTCTAATTCAGCAAATGAAGACGCCCGTGATTGAGACTCGAACCCGTGTCAGGTACTGGCGCGTTATCGATTCAACCAAACTGTCCCTCTAACTAAAATATTGTAAAATACACTATCGTTTTGAAAGTAATATTTCATCAACGAATTTTTGGATAATAATTGGTTCACATGTGGCTTAATCATTTCTTGACCGCAATACACATGAGTCGCGCCTCTACTAGATTGTCATAATTCATTAATGAGTATATTAGTTGTCTGGTTTGCTAGGCCAAATTGTTTCTGGTATTTAAAATGTTATGTATATATAGATTTACCAATCAATGGTAGCTAGTGGCTATGTCTAGCGAAGGTGAAAGCTAAGGTAAAATGTTGTGTTATACTTGTATGTTTTATGCACAATTTAATGCCATGTAAAATCATCAAGTGTTTAAAATAAACTGTCAATGTCAAATATAACACCTAGATTTGTATTCAGAGGAGTAGCAGTAGACTTTTGACCCGAGGCGCTCATAATGTAGTACTACATTAACAATTGGTTGAAATATTCATATTATCAATAATTGATAATCGTATAATAGATAATTATTATCTATTCGATTAATATTTTATAAATTTAAATAATGTATGAATAATATATAATTTAAAAAATGTATTGAAAAAATATTCATTTTCCGACGTGTAATAGCGTTAGAGTAAAATAGTTTTTAGTTCTGTAATTATTTAAAGTTAAAAACATCTTCATTTAAGATGTGTTCAAAAAGTAACGGGAATTTTCGTTTTTTGAAAAAAATATTTATTTATTCGTCTATATTAATGTTGTCGTATTCAACAATGTCCCCATTAGATATTATGTACTTGTGCCAACGCTTCTTCCAAGCATCGAAACATTTCTCAAACTCCATCATAAAAAGCGCATCGCTGAATGAGCTATATTGTGCAGTGGCATCCGGTGCGTTTGTCATTTTCAACGTCTTCACGGCCATCTTGGCTTATACCACTCGTAAATCCTTGTTATACTCATGACAGACTCATCATAGGCCATTTCATATAATTTCACACACTTTGTTACACTTTATTTCATTTTTTACGCAAAATTTGATACAAATACATTGATCAATTTTTTTTTTAACTAATGAAAATCGCAGAGGTCATAAAAACACGAATAACTTTAATATATATCATAAGCCCATTTAGAGGGTATATATACTATAGATGTTACTTAAAAAATAAGATCCTAATAACTTTGGCTACTTACAACTTACAGGATTTCTTTTAGATATTTTTAACAAACAAATAACATACAAAGCGTATAGTAGCTATACATACATTTTACAGTTCTGTCATTAGCATCAATTTTAATTTAAATTTTTTTATCGTAAACAACAATTAATTAATTTTAATATCTATGAACTAATCTAACGTAAGTATTACTGTGTTCACAATGAGACAATAGACAATATTCACACTTAGTAAACATTACAGCATAACAAATACTTAGTTATAAAGTGTGAATATAGTTCAATGACAATGCCTAAAAATTTAACGTAAAATCCAAAACAATTTGTCAATGGTCATAAAGCAGCGTGAACTCAAGTTAAGTTCAGACCCCCTGTATATTCATTACGAGATAATAATTAACCTTATAGAACCGAAAAGTGCAGTAATAATAATAATAAACAATAATAATTCATTATTATGTGACGAAATTTAGTTAATTTTTCAAAATTTCTAACCTATTCTTGAAAGTATAACAATTTCAAAATTTTTGTTTTAGTATTTTTCATTTTATCCTTAAAAATTTTCAATAGTCAAAATAAACATATTTATTCAATGATCATTTTGAACACTTAATCAAGTGAGCCTGAAAATAAAATGTAAGTAGCAACAATAATTTACGTTTTAAATCGGTAAAATAGTAAGTTTATTTACTTATAATTTCTCAAAGTAATAATCTTTAATTAGTTTGAAATTTTTTAACAAAATTACAAACACCAAAATTTTTAAATTAATTTATCAACACATAATTTATTGGCTGATATAAACTATAGAAACACTGGTATTAGATTGTGTTTTTGCACAAAATCTAATATTAAAAATAAAAATATTGATGGAAAAGGAGATGATAAAGAAAATATACAACGCAAATAAATCTATGATTCTAATACAGACACGTATGTTAGTATTATAAAAAAAAGGAGGACTTTTTTAGACTAAGTGTCTTGTGGAAATAACTACACATGTTACAATTTTATTAAGGTATATGAGTTTGAGATTAAATCGGAAGATATGATTCAACACAGCAAGACCTATAATAAACTTGAAAAAATTCTAAACTTATATAAGTAAATAAATTGAATTTATCGAAATACATTCTAGATCCTTGCTAATATTAAAATAATTTCTGATGGCCTTGAAATTAGACAAAAATATTGTAACTATATATTACGTACAGTTATGTTAGGCTTAAAACCGCACTTTTTAAATTTATATCCTCACAAATTATTTCACGAATAATGAATCCTCAATATTTCACGACACCAAAAATTAAATTAATCTTGTAATACGTGATATAAAATGTAATACAAATTTTTCTTAATCATCATATTTAAGTAACAAATTTATGATGTATTTTTATGCTATCTAATCATTATTTTTATAATTCAAAAACTCATTAGAAATATGACAGTACTTTTTATACGACTTAATACTTGATGGGCTAAAATGAGAAACCCACAGTTCAAATGTAAATTTGAGAAAATCCGTCAGTTTTTATTACAAGGTAGCAGCATATTTTGAAGGTTAAAACATATAGCTTGTTTACATTTTTAGGAGATACTGGTATTTATTTATAGTACTTTGTATTTCTAGTTTTTATTATTAGGAATAATTTTAATTATTTTACAACATATATTTTACAATTTTACGATAGTTGACTATATTAATTATAATGCTTAAGGCAACTATAAATAAACAGAAAGAATACTTTAATTTGTAGTACTTTTAAAAGTAAATTCACTATCACGAAAAATGACTTAAATTTTCGAAAAAATGGAATTGTTTAAAAAGTTTATAAGAAAAAAATTTAATCTACTGTTCCAAATCTATAAAAATGTATTATCCTATTACAAATATATATTTTTTTAAATAAAATTTCTTATCTTACAATAATTAAAGAGTAAATAAACTTTTCAAAATTATCCACAGTCATTTTAGAAATAGTAACCTTAATACTGGTCGCATAAACTACATTATGTATATATTTAAGTGCACAATAGTATAGTAAAGAAAGTAAATGTTGTAAATATTAAATCATTTCATTTGAAATTAAGATTCTCATACATAACTTAGCTTCGATTTGAAGCTGAGAAGGTATTAATTTTACTACGATATGTTTTTTTTTTGTGTGTATGTCTGTTACCAGTTTTTTTCAGCTATCGCCGAACCGATTTCTTTCAACGATACGTCGAAAGATCACAAATCGTATCTAGACAAAGACATTACCCTAAAATATTTTTTAAATATCTCTCGTTCCCAGTAAATAGAGGAAATCTCCAAAAAAATTACAAATTTAAAAATCGATAAAAAAATTTAACTTTTTCAACATAGATTTTGAAAGTATTCCCGAAATACTGACACTTTTATAAATATCTTAAATTAAAGCTAACGTATTATAATTTATTACGGAAAAAAAAATTTTGGACTTAATTTTGTCTTCAAGGTGAAAATAGGTACCGTATGCTATTTTTGTGTTAAAATTCTCGATTTTATATTTTATATTTTTAACTTTATATTTCTATAACTTTTAAAAAAATGAACAGATCAATACAATTTTTTTATGATAAATACTTTTTGTATACCTCTTTCATTGGACATACTTTTTTTTTAAATCGGACCATTTCCCTTTATACAGGAGTGGTTCAAAACTTAAAAATGCGTATAAAATTTAGAATTTTAACAACTTATTTTTAATTAAAATATATTTGTTGATAATTAATACGTAACCTAATAATCAAACATAAGTATTTGTTATATTAATTAGAAGGATTTTGTTTTTAGGCCATATGCGAAACTCTAATTGCAGATTTGAAATCGGCGCAAAAATGGGTTTAGAAAAGTATATTTGGGTCTCGGATGAAAATTCCTTGTAGACCAGTAAATTTATTTATAAATAACAAGTAATTTTTTTTTAAGTAATGCATCAATACCTTTATTTTTTATAAAAGTAATAACTACTTTAAAATTTTTTATAATTTCTCGTAAAAATTACAATACTAAATTATTAGATATCGATTTCATACTATATTAATTGCTAAAATAAATATTTATTCATATATTATACTTATAATCATAAAACTTTTAATCAGGTTATAAATAAGGAAATATGACATCATGTTGCTTTTAGAATAATGCACCAATTTTTTAAAATTAAACACTATCTACAGATTTGCATCGAAGTGTTTTTTATGATAGTTATTTTAATCACTGTCAGATTAAATCTATACTGGACCCAACTATGCCACGTCCTTACTGTGCTGAGTTTTTTTTTTATTAACTGGGATTTTTTTTGCAATATTTTAATTTTAGTAAATGGTAGTACATTTTATGATTTTATTTAATGATTTTAGTATACTTTTTTTTTCATTGATTTATAAATACAACAGTACTAACAATTGTTATACTTAAAACATATGTTATGTAAAAATAAATGTATAGTAAACACATTTTTTATTTTTTATAGCCTTCAAACAATAGTATTATTATATCTCAACAATTATCTTTTATTACTGTTATTATTAATAAAAAATATAAAAATAAAGCAACAAGTTTTGAGGATAAATGAAATTCGATCCCGTGACAGTGGGGCACAAGGACTGACGCTATCATATGTGATCTTCTACCATAAATCCTACAACGTTTTATGTATTTACACATTAAACAAATTATGCACTATCTTCTCTAATAAATAGGATAATGTTATAAACAAAAGGAAAAAATACTGATTTATTTCTCTGTACATTCATTGAATTATTTAATAATTATCTGTATTTTTTTTTTACATAATTTACTTGTATTGTACTAGTATTATACTTAGCACAACAAATCATATTGTAATTGAATCTAATGATTCATTGAATAAATAAATAATAATAATATACTATTAGTTTCAAATTTTTAAAAATCATATTCTCACAAATTAACAGTTCTCTTCTTTTATCATCATTATTAATTGCATGAAATATAAATTATTGAACTCGTTAACCTTGATCCAATTTACAAATACAGAAATATATATTAATAAATTTTTATGGACCAATATCGTTACTAAAATACACAAAATTTTTGATAATAATTAAGAATACTATTATATCATGGTATTGCTTTTTTTTTATCGTTTTTTTTTAAAAATATGCTAATTATTTTAGTTTTCCTTGTTTAATAATTTAACAAAATTTAAAAAATTATTCATATGTACGTCACATCACAATATGACATACATATTTTTTGCTATGATTAATTTTTTACTACCATTATAAATAAAAACGATTTATTACACTAAAAATAGATGTATGCGGCAATCTTTTTTCCTTATCGCAGTTTTATTAAAATATAAAAATTAGGAATATAAATCTGAAGTAATTTAAATATAACAACGTTTTATTAACTAAACACTTGTAATTGCTGAAAAAAAACCCAACAAACTATTTAATGTAAATACAAAAATACCCAGATAAGTATGGTAATAATAATGGTAATTAATCTGGACGCTCAAATACGCATGAAGATTTTATTTTTTTTATAGAATAAAATTACATAAATATCATCTACATACGTATGCATTTACTGACATGATCTCTCTACAAAGACCTTCTAATATTTTTGCACTAATAAGCGCACACAAACACGCAGTATTTACCTCATTATCAACAGATGACCATTGTTATTGTATAACTTTTGGCTTATAGTGTGTTAAGGCCACTGCCACCTCGTTACTGTCTTGTAGGGAAGGGAAACTCTTCACGGAGCGACCAACGGCCGACGACACACGTCTTGCCGGCCAGTAAACAGCAGTTGGCACGGAGTCGGCTTACCGGTAAACGCAAAGCACGTTCCGTTCACTGTTTCAGTTTTTTACATACGTTTACGACGTCATCGATTCTATCGAATTCCAGTTTTAATTTTTACTTTCAGCATCGTAGTTCATATCTATTGTGTAAGCCATGTCGAGAAGGACGGACTTGGACTTGAGCGACGACAAGCGTTTTGCTTTGATGAAGGTATAGTTTTCTTAATTATTTTACATACCCTAAAACACGAACAGAAAATTAAGGAAAGTAAATTATAGTACGTTACTTTATCTCTTACGTGTATGTTTAACGATAAACTTGTTGCTGATAAGTGTATTGGTGTAAACGTCAATTACTACGTTTCTTGTAAACACATAGTCGCCCATAATAACCACTTTTGCGGATTTTCCGAGGTACAGAGTTTTCCGAGTTAGTTTCACTGCATAATTACAATCGTAAACACTGAAAAATACATGGTACTTGTAATTATGTGGTAATTTTTAATTAACGTATATCTTAATAAATGTTTAACGGAATTCTAAACATAATTAAAAATAATATAACATTTGAATATTATTAAAATTAAATTAAAAGCATTGAACTTTTTTTTGTTATAAATTATTTATAAAACAAGAATTTTAAATGTTCGTAAAGAGAACAAATATTAGATTCAAAAAACTCTACAATAATATCATAGACGTCCGCGGGGGAGGTGGATAAATTCCTCTCCTTGACGTTTGGTTTGGTCTTTTTTAATTAAAAGATTAAAAATTATATTTTTATTAAACTGTATTATGAATGCTAGAATTATGAGCATTGTTTCTATAGATTAATGAAATCTAGGTTTGGTTTTTATTTATTAAATTTTTAGACATTTAATTTTATAAATAATACATAACACTACCAAAAAATTGTTTATTTATAATTTTTTTTCTCCCATAAGCACCTATTAGAAAGTTTTTAATATTAAAAAATTACAATCTGTTACAATATGTTAAAGTTAAGAGATTTTATTAAAACATTCTATTGTTAATTCACTGTTTTAAATACAGCAATCTTATTCTTCTATGTTGTCACATAAACCAAATTTTATTGACAAAAAAATATAGCAGAATAATCTTGTATTATAATTTTTTTATCCAGTGACCGTTCATATGTTACAGAATTTTAAATACAAAGTGTGGAGTAAGTACTGCGGGTGGTTACAGATCAACAGGTGTATGTGCACTACTTCGTCTGCACTACATACCCACTCCATTTATTAAAAATGCTAAAACGGATAAACGATCCATTAGATGAAAAAAATTATAAAAATTTTTCTATCATATAATTAAGTTAAAATTAAAATTTCCACTTGTGAAAATTAAATTTAAGGTTTTTTAACCCCGAAGGTTTGAAAAAAAAATTATTTTTCTACGTATTATTATATTAGTTTTTCTTTATTACTTTTTACATTTATAAAAATTAAAAATTCTGAATACTTTCTGAGAAAATTAGTGTCTTACCGAATTTAGATCATTCTGTATAAAAAATTTAGTATGGAGATTTTACATGTTGAAAAAAAATCAGAGCCAAATTTATTCACTAAGTAATTAGTATTCGTAGATTTAATTGATGACATTTCCGGCATCTATAGTCTACCATATTTTCATTATGTTTGATACGTTTTTTAAATTAATAAATTTATTAAACAACCAGTAAATTAACTAAAAGTATGACGCGATATAGAGACTAAAAATTATCGGAGGTTCAAAGTTTAAGAGAAAAGAAGTTATAAAATCGAAATTGGCATCAGAGTACACAATGGTGTATTTAGAAGGAACACAGGGTCACGAGCCCTCCCCTTGACCGTAGCTAATATAAATTTTTTGTTTCTCATAATCACCTCAAGCTATGTAAAAATTATTGTATAATAATTTCATAGCTTGTCAGATAAACAATTTTAATTATGAGCCTCCCTCATTAGTATTTTTAAATACGCCCCTGAAATTACGATAAACTTGAGTTGGAATGTCAAGGTTAATTCATTATAAAGATTGATAAGCAATTTTTATTTAAGGAATTTATGCAATTAAATAAATATATTTTACGTTTAATACAACGAATTCGTTTTTTAAACATGTGGTGAACAAAACTCGTAGTTTATAGAAATTATACTAATATCAAAATTGCAAAAATCATTCAACATTGTAATTAATGAAAATTTTTTGTTTATTTAACAATAATCATAAAGCATTTGTTCTGATTTAAAAAATAAATAACATCTAACGATGAATTAAATGTGGCTGCGATTTATAAATTATCAAATATGTTTTTAAATATAACTTCACGAAAACAATATTTTGTTTTGATTTTTTTTCAATACAAGTTCATTTTATATACATAAATAGTGGGCCACCAAAATCGAACAATAACGCTTAGTGTTAAATTACAGCTAACATCAATTATTATTGTTTAACTTATTTGTAAATATAATGCAATCATAAATTGTCAATATCTCTTTCCCTTTGGACAATATAGTAGCTTGGTTCCCTAATATTAAATTAAAAATACAACACTTTGTTAATTTTAAACAAAAATAGTTCAATGCGAATCATTACAGCATAACATCTTTTGTAAGGTAAAACTCTAATTTGACAAAGTTTTAATCCATAAGTAATCATCTAATTATAAATATCAAATATGATAACTTTTATTGCATCTTATCATATAACATACAAGATTAATTGTTCATATATTAGTTTATAATCTACATTAGAACAGAGTAATTTTATAAAAATTATTTTAATATTTTTATTATTTATTGATTCTTTAACATTTTACTCTTATTGAACAAGAGATTTTTCACAATCTCCTCCTGTATTTAATAACAAAATAGAATCATGATTGATTAATGTAAGTATTCATAGTCCTGACTCTTATATTATTCCAACACAATCATCAAATAGTAATCTACCTTCATTGAAAAATAATATAATATCACATTAGGTCGCGTCGTCACTGCATTATGGCGCAAGAGTTACAAAGAATGTCTGCTAAACCATTAAATACTAATTAAATGTTTTATTTGTCGCAGTTAACTACCTCTTACGAAACCAATATTGATTTAAAATCAGGTTAGGTACTTTGCTGATTAACAGATAATAATACACTGTAATGTATATTTCAAGCTAAGAATTAAAATAATACATTTCGTTTTTTAGCTATAGATAAAAATTAGAAAATTGTTTAGAATTTTTCAAATACAAATAGAATTGTTGTATTTTTCAACTAGAATTGAGTGGATATATGAAAAATATTGTGGTGTCCTAACAGTAATGTAATGTGCAATATATTGTTAACCCTAATTATCTCAAGTACACCGTGAATTATATGTTTGTATTATTATGAAAACTATAATTTTGACATTCAATATTTTCATAAAACGTTACATAAATATCACTCTCAGCTATAACTTATTACTGTTTGTATTTTCTATTTGGTTATCAAAGATGTGTCTTTGAGAATTATTTGCGTAAGTTTCTTTTGAGCTATAGACGAATTTGTTGGATTGATATGAACTGAAACAAATGTTTAGATGAACTTGTTCAAATTGCTTAAATTTAATCGCATTTGTGTGTTGAATATGATTCATATTTAGTGATTAATGATTATGTTTCCTTATATTGTAATGTTTTTATTTTTTAAGTTTATAAGCAGATTTTTTTACGTATCTTTCAAATATCTTTTCGTTATCCAGGTTCTAAATCATGCAACTGTGATTAATAATTATTATTATTCGTAGTGATTATAATTTTTGTTGGTATAGAGCTCGGCTCTGTATTACATATTACTAGTATAATAATAATTGTAGTACAAAAACAGTCCATTCGAGTCAGCGGACCGCAAATATAAATGTGGCACCATTTTACCTATTGCATTACGTTAGTTATTTATTTCTACCGCAGTAGTATACATTTTAAAATTAATGTACTGAAAAATACAACAAGATTATTGCACGACAGCGATGACAGAGCATTAATTTTAACGACTTTTCATATTCACATATCTAATTAAAATGCATCTAAGGTTGTTTTTGAACAGAACCAGAAATTACTAAGTTTTGCAAAACTGAGTGATCGTTTTCTTTTTTACAGTAATTTACCATTGTGTTTCATTTGTATCAAAATCATAAAATGAACAAAAAGGACACTGACCGCTTTTTTTTTTTTGCACTTCAATTTTTATATTTAAATTCTTCTTGGTCGGATATAGAAATTATTAGAACTACAAGATTTATAAATTTATTAAAATTGACACAATTTCAATGTTGCGGCGTTAGTTCTTAACATTTTGCTGTTTATAGTCCATAATAAAATGTAAAGAGGAGTGCTTTTGAAGAGAGGTCACTAGTGAGCTGATACGACTAATACTTTATTAATAATTTTTAATTTAATGACAAGCATAATTATTAATTATGACACTACTATCAATCACTTTTATGTCTTTTTTTTCTATAATTACAACCTGTAATGAGTGAAACACTTAATCGAACTACTTACTACAGAATTTCACGACTTTACTTACCGAACTTAAGCAATAAATAATATTTACTAGCCATACTATGCAAAAATTCTCTATCTCATTGCTTTATCTACTCTTTCTCCTTCTTAAAAAAAAAATTTAATTCATTTATCTACGCGGGCTAAAGCCCGAATACAATCAACGATTATCTATATTACATTTATAAAACTATAAGAACACATCTATATTACAACTAAAACTTAAAATATTTACAATTTATTAAATCACATATATTAGAGCTACTAACAACTAATTATTTGATTCATTATTAAATGATAATTGTATCAAAAGTTATTAAGTCAGTTAAGTCTGAAACACCCTGCATAAAAGCACTACTTACACTACTAAGTCATACACACAATAAATTACTAATTATTATATCTCCGGGCATCATAACTCTCTTAAAATTATCCACTTTAATTAAAATTTATGATCAATAATAGAGGAATTAAATTTGTTCACTTTTACATGAGTAACATACCTTAAGTAACATAATTTTAAAATGACTTCAAGCGTTCATTCATTTTTATTGCATTTTGTAGAGAAATATTAACGATATAACCCAACCATTATTGTGTAACTTCTTCGTCAGAAGAATTTTATAGTATTACTCATCATAATAATTAGGTTCACTTTGACGTCGCACGAGAACAATGGATATGACGTTTATTTTTCACGGACTACAGCTCTACTGCCTTTGAATATTCACATCATTAATATCAAGACGATCTACTTATCAAAGACTTTTTACAAATGAATCGCTTTTATAATTCTTATAATAGAGTTCTGATTCATTTACAAAAAGCAATGGATAAAATTTTACTGACCGCTGACAGTTATTGTGTTCATATGGATTTGATTTTACTTTTCCGTCACGAACCCATTGAAGCTCATCATTAAACAAAATAAATGACCAGGAAATCACATTTATACGACCTTGTCAAAATCATTTTTTTTTTTTTAATGTGAGGAAATGAACTTAACATGACATGAATATTTTCATTATGTATTCTACTTGTTTAAACGCCACTTTTTTAAATCTAGAAGTTTTGAGTACAATTACTTAAGATTAGTCGTAGTTTGAGATCAACATTCAAACATTAATAATGACTAACAAGAAAAAGTATCAAGGTTAATACTGATTTTATATAAATTTGACTAGTAATGCTGAGTTTCAATTGTGATCATTGGTTTCTGTAACTTATCATTAACGCATTAATATTAAAAATAAATAAAAAGTGAATACAAATTATTTTTTTATAACACCATAACAATATGTAAAAATGAAGACAGTTGGCAAAAATTCAATTTATATCATATTTTAAATAATACGTGAGCAAAATATCTTCCAAAAAATATATTTTTTAATATACTAGTAGACACGATACCAAAAATGTAAAATCAGTCATAACTGCAAAGTAAAACTGTTTTCATATTTTTAAATGATTTAAAACTTCTTTTATCATTTCAATAATCTACCATATTTATAAATGCATTCATGCGTATATTTTAAATTTATTTTTCTAAATATTATGTAATATAAAATTAACCACTTGAAAGATTTTTAAAGTTTGTGTCATTGGAAATAATTAATTGTTCATTTTATAATTATAAAATGATAAATGATGTCATTAGTATTGGGCGGAACAGTGAAAAGTGTAATAATAAAATTCGATAACTCATTCTAGTCGAATATCACAGTCATTTTTTTTTATTATGTAAAACTAATCATTGTCAAAATAATGAGACTGGACTTCATACACTGAGTCGATTTGTGGTTTTCAAATCCACGTATAAGATTGTACAAGCGTCGAACATGTAAAATTGAATAAAAATGATTATTTTATCATTAGAATAAAGTGATAAAAACGACAGTATTAAATATGCATACTGCCACAAGTAATTATTCACTACTTAAAAGTTTAGATATAATTTGGTCAGCTAGATTTACAAGTCAAGTAAAAATAATTTTATTCCTTCTCTAAATAAAAAACTAAAATATTCCGTATAGATATTATAATATATCTTTATATTATACTTTACTTTTAGTGAATATTTTTAAAAAAAGTTAAAATTAAAACTAAAAAAGTAAAAGTAATATTTCATAAAATATAAAAAATATATAAACACATGTAAAATATATGATATTTGTAGCATACTCATAAATTTATATTAGGATTATGGTTATTAAATAATGTATTTAATTTTTTAATAATTTTATTATAAATAATAAAGAAAACATATTTTCGCCTTAAAATACCTACATCAACCAAAATAAAAGAAAAAGGTTAACAACAAAAAATGAGTTCAACCAATACTCATCGAGAAAAATTCACTATTATAAAATAATTAATGTCCTGTTTATCATATATATTAGTCAAAAACCTTGAATTTTAAGTGTATTAACAAATGCACCCACTTTCTTATAAAATTGGTTGTGAGCTTAATGTATTAAGTTTTAATGTACAGTCTAATACATTTTTAATTATTCCTCGAATTAGCTAATTTAATTTTTGACGTATTTACTTCCAAATTCCTTTTTTTCTTTGTCTTTATAATTTATGTAGTTAAAATAACTTTAACTGCATAATTATATATTATAATACTAAATAATAATATGGTATATTATAACATATTATAATGTATAAATAATTACTCAAATAAAAAACAAAATACAAAAATAATCTTTTATAATATCTCACAAATTATTCTTATCATTAATTGAATTATTAACATTAAACAAGTTTAGAAAAGTTATTTAAATACTATTCAACATTTATTAAAACAATATTTCAATTCATTTAAAATATAAATATCATTTTATAATTGTATAGTGATTAAAAATAATTAAATGGGTATAAGTATATATCGTACTATTAACAACGAAAAAAACACATCATAGTAAAGTTAATACATTTGCGGCTTCGCATCGGAGCTAAAATGAAAAAATTATTTCAGGAAAATAAAATTTGTATTTTTAATGAAAATTAATTGCTCTCCAACAGATCCTTCGTCATAATTTGAAAGTATACTGAAAACTAACTTAATTTTTGAAATCGTTTTGTTCCCATACGGTAACAAAAAAGAAAATTCAGCTCAAAAAAATTGACTGTTTGATATTTTATGTTTCAAAAACTTTAATTATCTTGTTTGTAGACTAAAAAAATGATCCTAAAATTCATTTAACTAAATTAAACGACACTCCCTTCTCCTTAAAAAAAAAAATGTTTATAGATTCTCTACTGATTACAATGTTAACTTATTTTAGTTATAAACTAATTTTACATAGTTAATATTCAAGAATTATGATTACAATATTAATATTTGTATTTTTCTTTGTAGATTTTTTATATCTTCAAAACAGAATGAAATATTGTAAAGAAAGTCGATAGTTTTTTGTTTCAGTTATATTAAATATTACATGTTAGGAAGATATTTTGATACTTTTTTTATTTTAGATAATAATTAATACTTATGTATCGGATAAAATTATACATAAACGGCTACACTTTATCACGTCGGCTGCAAATAGCAGTCATTGTTTGTTGTCTTAGACGGGGACCAACGACGACTGCTAGTGAAAGTTAAAGATTGTTTTTTTTTTCAAGAGAAGACTACTCGTTACACAATGATTTTGCTAACAAGTACCAATAGCGTTTAAATCATTCGACGTTTTGAATTCCTCCCTTCTCCACATTTATCACTATCCTGAGTATTCATGATACTTCTTAGCCATTTGTGCGCACGCCTTAAAAATGTAAAATTGCATAATTTGATACATAATATTTTATTCATTATTGCAAACAGAAGAAAAAACAACGTCCTTGACCTAACGGGTACCACATGTACCTGTGCATTGATCGGTTGTTACAACTAAAACATGTTTTCTGATACTATACGCACTTAAAAATTCTGTAATCCAAACATTAAATAAGGTAACTAGTTTTGATAATTTTAATTGACGTATTCAAATTGATTAACAACGGAATATTCTAGAATTATATGAATGGTATCAAAACGATGGTCTAATTTCTTTCATCGTTTGTCATTGCCATAGGCTAATGAGCTTTAAAAATAAATGGTAACTTTAAAACTTTTCTGGTAACCTGTTTTCGAAATTGTAATTGATTAAAAAGATAAATTTAATTTTAATCAAATGAAATTGCTATGAGTTAAAAGCAAGATTTGTAAATGCGATTGAAAGCAAGTAAATTCTCTCCCGAAAAAATTAGATTTTTCTGCGTTTATTTTTATTTGAAGCGCTTAATTTTTACAAGATAGAAATATGTGATAGGTTTACAAGTTTAAGCGTAAAATATTAAAATGTATTCTAATATTCAAATTCATAATTATTAGCTATGGTATTGTCTAATATATTGTAGTAACCCATATTGTCAGCTACCGGAAATACCATACATATGCCACAAAATACTTAAATATTAATTTACAAAATTATCATTTATGGTGTCATACTCTAAATTGATAATTTAAATCAATAAAAAAATCAGTTCATTCAAGTTTTAAAATCTACTTATATAAGAGCCCACTGTGTCACTACAAAAATATTTGATGATATAATATGTACCCGATGACCTTATGATACTGGAAAATTATTACCTGTAGGCTCTTTTCTTATTTTAAACATAATTACAATCTAGTGGTAAAATACAATAATTTAACTATACGTTCTATATGATTAATAAATAGAACGATACCAGATTTGACCTGTAAAGTGCATTGTAATCACGTTGTACAAATCATTTTTAGTTGTAAAATTAATTATATAATTAAAAGCTTCGGCCTAAAGAGTTGATGCAATTTTTCATACTCACAAAAATTCTATATGTCTTTGTCATGTTGACAGATATAATTTATAAACTAAAAACATAACTCTCAATCATTGCATTAACGTTTCGTCAAATATAATTTATTTGATGTGTTAAATAATTGAAATACTTAAAATCATGTAATTTAAAAAATGTATTTATTTTTGTTACAGTTGAGGCGGAATGTTGCCGACATGCATTTAGATGAAAAATACGACGATTGCTTTTTACTAAGATGGCTAGCCGGTAAATATTATTATCAAGTAATATTTTTAAGATAATATAAAACGATTAAATATGATATTAAATAATGGTAAAAGCCTTTAATACTTTAATTTAAAGCCTTATTCGATAAATGTTACAGCCCAAAATGACGACGCTTAAAATTGACTTTACAGTAATATTTTAAGTAAAAGTATAAAAACGAAATTTTCCATGATTCAATCAGTTAAAAATAATGAAATTTCATTCAGTCTACATAAAAAAAAAAAATATATATATATATAATTAACTTCTGAAATATTGTTTCAAAGTTTGTTATCTACTAGTCATAAGCTAGTTAATTAAATACTTTGCTATTTGAAAAAATAAAGTTGACACTCCTATATATAAAAAAACCCTTTATGATTGATGAATTAAGAAAAACATAGAACTTAAAGAAACCAATTAAAAATTATTAATATTATTTTTATTTTTGATTAATTAAGTGGTTATGACAAAAGAAGCATCTTGTACAGTAAAAATCATCTCGACTCGCATTCCTCAAAAAATTATCAAGTTTGATTCAAATAGCATATCATGTTTGTTATGTGTAAACAATTACAGTAACCAATTGATATTTAAAAAAAACTGTTCCAAGAACAAAATGTTACAAAACCCATGATTTTTCTAAATAAAAATTTAACTCTCATTTGTTCACAAAACAAACTTGACTAATGATAAAGTATAAAGTATAAACATTATGATACTTTCATTATAATAATTATAATTTGTAGTACATAATTGTAACATCGATTCTATTTTATAAATATTTGTTATTCACGTTTTTAAAGTTATTCTAATTAAAAATTAAATTCTTATATATTTTTTTAAATTTTATTTCTTAGGCACGTTAAAATTTAATATTATGTATTATTAGACTGAATTATTTAAATAGTAAATTTTTTTTTTAGCTAGAAATTTCGATCCAAAAGCTGCTGAGACTATGTTGAGAAATGTAAGTATTGATAAAGCATGGATCAAACAAATATAATCGTAGCAAAAATTATCTTTTTTTTTTTAATATTTGATGATAATTGCTTAATATTATTTCTAGTCTATGGATTGGCGTCAGAAGTGGTCTATAAACAAGGACGACGGCTGGGTACCATCTCAATTGATGATCGACTACGTGCCAACTGGTCATTGTGGATACGATAAACAAGGTTCACCCGTAATAGTAATTCCTTTCTCAGGGTTTGACATCTGCGGCTTGATCAAATCTGTCTCAACACAGGATATGGTTAGGTATTTGGCGAATAAAGTTGATTCATTCTTAGAAATTGCAAGACAATCATCGCTAAAAAATGGTCCAAACGCATCCCAAATTGTAGTTATCGTCGACTTGACTGACTTCAACTTGAAACAGTTTACATGGAGGCCAGGTACTTATTTCAAAGTAAATAAATCTATGTAGTATCAACAATAAGAGTACTTCTAGATCAAATACGTCTCAAGTGACTCTTTTAGATAAGTACAATAATACCCTCCAAATTGAAACTTGTTCACATGGTCACCCGTCATTATTTTTACATCCTTCTTGAACATTTAATTTTTCTAGAAAAATATTTCAATCCCAGTAAAACTCTAAATCGTCTATGAGTTAGTACTCTTCAGTTTATTTTTTGATGTAATATTTTTTATTTAAACAATTAATAAAACTAATAGTATAAAAGTAATTAAACAACGGTCTTATCAAAGTAGTCTAATACTTGTATTTATATACTAGTATTAAAATATATTTTTAATATTCTGAATACTTTTCCAATAATAATTATCGAAATATTTATATTGTATACTTTTTAAAAGTAAATTTTAGTAGTATTTGTATTTGAATTACTATATAGTTTTCATTATTATTAAATTATTTTATTGTATTTCATAATTATTGATAAAACATAGGCCATCAACACACTTTAGCACTCAAAAGTATTTTTATTTAAACTCGATATTTTTTTTTATTGTGACAGACGTAGATCCTGGAAAAATGTATTAAGGGACCAATTTACTACTTCTAATAGCGTGAGACCTTTTTTCAGTCAACTTCTAGTCATTTCAATTTACAATTTTGAAGAGGCTATTGATTTTATGTCCTCTTTTATATGCATCTGTATTAAGATAGAATAAGTAAAGCTTATTTATGAAAACCCTCATAAACTTATATTTTCAATGACTATTTTAGATTTTAATTATGTTGGCATAAAATTAATTTTTTCGTAGACATAAACGTTATCACACATGTTGGGGCCACGAAAACAAATATTTAAAAAGATAATTAAAATAATTATTTAATTATCAAGGTCAATACGTTTATTAAATTTGCAATTTACGTAAAATATCCCTAAAAGATTAAAAATTAGTGATTCGAAAAAAAATATTTTTATTAAAACAATTTTATTTAAAAATATTCAAATATGTATTCCAACTATATTTTAAAAGTATTTTAATCATAACTGTCAAAATAATTATCTTTTATCATACTATTAATACAAAATTAGTTTTAAAAACATTAGCAACATTATTATAAACTTTTAATTGCTAAACATTTGTTTGAAATTCATCAAGTATGAAACAATATATAACCAAATAATTAATTTTTTCTAAAAATGGTTAAACAAATGGGGAAAGCACCTTTGCCACGAACTGATAATGCTCCGACATTTACATACTTCGACATTTGACAAAGTAGTAATTGTTACGAACATCTGGTACTCCGACCATCTGATACCATAGGTTACCAAAAATACGACGGATTTTACTCCGACATTAAATTAAAAAAATGAGACAGTAAAAACTCCGACATTATCGATAGTTTGATTATGCATCGAAAGTTATATTATATTTCGATTGTATTATTAGTAATAGGGCGCTTCGATCATATATATTGCAACGTAGGGTCATGTGGCTATAGAAACACTACATTATTAAATTAATTATATTATTATTAATAATATTGTAAAATTTTAATTAAAATGTTCTATTCAATGAGCATTTATTTGCTACTATAGTTATTATACAATAATATACATTTTGCTTATTATTTTCTGGTACAATTTCTCACATTTGACAAATGTTATTAATACTCGAATGATAATAGTCATTCATTAAGTAACATAAAATTAATAGTGTTTAATACAAATGTACATTTTTGAAAAAGTTTTCTCTATTGTTAGAATATATATNCTGAAAAAGTTTTCTCCATTGTTAGAATATATGTTTATCTTTGAGAATTTTATTTTCTAATTATCCAATAATCATATTATCCATCAATTATCCAAATCAAAAAACTGTTAACTGTTTTTTCAGTTGATCCACAAAATTTTATCTAACCGTAAATTATTTTTTAACATCTAAGAGATCCATTTGAAAACTAATTTTTCTATAACAAATATGTGCTGTAAAAATTGTCATGTGCAATTTTACTAGTGATTAATTCTTAAGTGTGTAATATTAAAAAATAATGACTAATATAAACATAAAATTGTTAATATTTGTACAATATAAAATTGGGTGTTCTATGTCCAATTTGATAATATGGATAAGTGTCTTCGGGAAGAGTTAAAATAATATCTTATTATCCAATAATTTTGGATGTAGTGCAATAGAACCTCAAGGTTAAAAAAGAAATTTCTTCCATGTGTTCCTCATCATTCTTAGGGATGACTGGATTTTTTCCTGTGCTGCATTAGGATATCTAAGTATAAAATAACACAGTATATCCAACTTCAATTCAGTAATTGTTGAACACATTTTTTTTAAGTCTTATTACTTTCTGGAAGTTTCTTCCAATAGGTTTGTGTTGACTCAGTAGATTATGATTAATTTTTCTTTCAGCAATTTTAATTGAAAATTAATTACTAAATTTATTTTTAACTTAAATTAAAAAAAATTAAAATAATATTAAACTGTGTAAGTTTTACTACAAGTTTTAATATTAGTTATGCTAAGAATTAGTAAGTTTTGGTTATATATAAGTAGAATTTTTTCTTATTTAAAAATTCTGTGTGTCATCTAAAAGTAAAAATTATTTATTTAAAATTCTTTTTCTTTAAAATCTAATATACATTTATTGAAATCAGTTTGATATTTCCTTGAAAAAATTATCTGAATAGCCTTACCTTTTTTTAATAATAATTAAATTTGTTGGACAATTTTCTCAGTGGTCCAGCGAGATAAAAAATCTTAAATTAAATGAGGGCCTTCTGAGCCAGGCCGACACTGCGAAAAGATGATTATTTTGCCAATGTTTTCATCTCGTTAGCTTAACGTGTATCCTGCAAATACAAATGTATTTTTCTATAAATACAAAATGAAGTTTTTTTAAAAATTTGAATTCATTTTATATGAACTTTTTAGAATATGAAAGCATATTCCTAAAAAATAAAAATTAATTTTCAAAATAAAATCACGTAATGTAATGTATTATGTTTTGTAAAAATGTAAATATATATCCTATAAAAAAAGTTGTACAGTTTCAATATTACATTATTCTATTTGATTTTCATTTAATGAGAAAAAATGAATAATTGTTTGATTATCAATTATGATTAATATATTTAACTCTATACGTATATTTGACAAAACTATCATAATGATAGTTATGTTAATAACTTTAATAATCATAATGTAAATGAAAAAAAACTCAACCATTATTTAATGAATTGACTGCATATTTTTAATCGAGTTAGTTAAGTTTAAAACTAATTATCTTAACAGAAGATTTAAGTAAGTTTATGATTAATCATAAACTATTGTCCACTGTTAACCTGTAACTGCATTGTGTTTACTTAATATGATTAGAGCGTAGGAGTATTGCAACAAAATATTTGGGAACTCTAATTACATAATTTTTTACCTAATCTAAAAAATATTTCTATACAACAAGAAATACAAATTAATTCATTTTCGGTATATTCTATGGCAGAATTTTAGGAGACAAAGCCCCCTCAAGTCTCTCCAGATTGCGGTCAAATCCAAGCTGGACTGAATTAATTTCGTTGCCCACCTTTGAACAATGAAATGATATTAAATCATATTTTTGTTTGATTTCATATGAGACTAATTGTAATGACAGTTTTAGAGAATGGGATACCGAATATCTTTATAAACACATCTGTTTAATGACGAATCCTATCATCAGTGACACGTACCCCTATATTTTTTAACTAAACTAATTAAATGTTATAATATTAATGTGCTTATAATGTTATATAAGCACTAATAAGGAGAGGTAAAAAAGATTTTACGTCTGAAAATTGGAATCGCTCTTCTTTCCCCTCCAAAAAAAAAATTTAAAAGCTCACACCAGTTATGTAACGGGTTGTTTTATTTCAAAGCCCCCTTTCTTACCTTTATGTACCTATTTTATCAAAAGTCGGATACATTTCGGGGATCTTTATTATAATAATTATTCGTTAATAGACAGTAATCAATTATAACGCTATTTTATTATATTAATTAATATTTATTAATTAGTGATAAGGGTTATATTTTTCCANAGGGTTATATTTTTCCATCAGTTATTATATTGCTACGATATTCATCTACTCTGAAATTTGATCATTTTTTAATCGATTTCACGAATAATCGATATTCGGAGCTAATTTCATTCGGAGCAATCAATTAATAGTCCTATTCGGAGTATTCATCGTCGTAGTAAAATCCAAATTTTTGTAACCAGGTATTCGTAGTAATTGTTGTCGGAGTAAATGTATTCGGAGGATTTTTTTAGTGTCGGAGTAAATGAATGTCGGGGCATCATCAGTTCGTGGCAATCTCCGTAACCCAAAAAAATAATACTAATAAAACAACGATTAATTTGAGTTTATTTCCATCTTAATTACCTAAATGTAATGTATTGTTTATATATGATAAAACTAATTTCCAATGCCTTTAATTAAATTAATTAACTTATTTTTCTAAATATAAAAATCGTTTAGAACTTGTAAGAATGTCGTTTAACATAAAATATTTGTTATAAAATAATAAGAACATTTTAAGTCCAAAAAAAATCTACACACCTAACTGTATATTTTATTTATAATTACACTTGCATAACTATATAATAGTTCAATTGTTCAGACGAATTACGATAATAATTGATTTTTATTTTTAAAATTGTGTTATTTATAACCAGTTTAAACGATCTATAAAATTCAAAAAATAAATAATTTGTGGGATTATTTGGTAATTACCTCATATTTAAAAACACCTAATTCAGCGAATAAGTTATACATCAATCTAAATTTTGCGTCATTTCATATTAAATTTAAGACAATTCACTAACAAAATAATTTCCTCATTAAAATACTCATCTACTCTTCCAACGTCATGATTTATAACCTTGACAATTTTAACTGGAATTATCTTTTAATTAAAATTAAACTTTAACACTTAAAACAATATTGTTCGCCATGAATTTCTGCGATATTTTGACAAAGTCGAAGGTTATGTGTATCACTCAAATTAATTATATACCTTTCTGATAACCTAAAATCTGTAAACCTAGCCTCTATCATTTAATAATTACTCAATCATAACCGTTTTTGTTTTTCAAATCACTTTGACATCCAGAACAAAAACAGAATACTGTCACGTATGAACTATCATTGACAATCTCAAAAAATCAAATATATTTTTCATATTTTAATATTATTTTTATGGCTATAACAGTACTTAGGTTACGATAAAACATAATTAACATAAACTTGTTTAAGATAAATTATTGACAAAAATTCTTATGATTGAAAATAATTAGCATTATCAATGTAAGTTTAATATAATTATTTTACAGCTGGTGAACTAATTATTACTTTATTACAAATGTATGAAGCAAATTACCCTGAAATCTTGAAAGCTGTGTATGCCATAAATGGTAGGTATTAATTATATAGAATTTAATAAATTATAATTAATTAATTAAAATATTTTTAAATGAACTTGGCTATTTAAAATAAAATTTATTTTTATATCATTATTCATATTCAAAGTATCATAGTGAAAAATTTATTTGGGGAGGAAATTAATCCTGAAAAATTGTTTTAAGTCGTTTAGTTACAATTAAGTCTATAATTAACAAAAAAAAAAAATTTTCTTAAGGAAGGAGTTATAATTTAAACCCATAAGCATTGAATCCTAATGTCATAAATTTTTTCTTTTAATTTTTAATTATATCTTAAATAATAATAATTAATCTTTACTTTTTACTTTACTACCACACTGTCTATTATAAATAACTTAATGAATCTTCTTGATTTCCTCTTTCAGTTTTTCATAGATCATTTGACATACAAATCATAATGATAAACAAAGAATTCCAGTTTTACTTTAATAATTTAATATTCAATAACATACTAACAGAATAATATTGTCACTTATAAGTATATTTATATCTATATATTCCTTATTTATTGTAGCTCCAAAAGTTTTTGCTTTTGCATTTAACATTTTAAAAACGTTCATGACTGGAAGTACATTGAGTAAATTTATTATATACAAATCAGATCCAAATAAATGGAAACCAGTTTTGGCCAAAGTAATTGATCCAGACCAATATCCAGCTCATTTTGGAGGCGCACAGTTCGATCCTGATGGTAATCCAAGATATACTACAAAAGTAAGAAAATATACCATTTAAATTAATTACTTATCACAGTATTAATTAATAAACATCTGTCTGCTGCATTTATACCGCACAATTTATGTCAGTCGAATGAAAATAACACAAATATACTTATCTTTAATGATAATACAATTAGAACTATCTTAAAGCAATTCAGTAAACCAAAATCGATACAGTAATACGACAAAATGTAATAATACAATAAATTTTGTTAGGTTTGTAATTAATCATTAATTAACTGTCCATAAAATAATAAATCTAATATAATTATCGTAATTGGCATAAAAAATTGAACTTTTAGAACCTTTTTTTAAACGAATATGAGTTTTCCATAGAATAAAATGAAAATAAATTGAGCACATAGATCAGTTATTTCTATTAAATTTGACTCTTCAACTCAACTTAATAGGCCCGGGGGCACGGGTTAACCTTAAAGGATCGGTCCCAAATTTTGCACAGCTCATTTTTTTGACCATTAAAAAAAAATTAAGGGGTAGCGTAAAAAAAAAAAAGACATTCGATTTTTGAGGGCCACCCTAATATATATATATATATGCTTAGAATATGGACTACTTTTTGCCCTATTAAAAATAGTTATTTTATTAATGATTGAAAAAATAAGAGAATTTAAGAAAAATTTTTCTTAATTTGAGACTTAATATACATATATTGATATAACCTATGATAATATCAAAGATACATGATAAATACAGCTCAAACTTGACTGCATTTACTTAAAATATTTAAATGTTTTCTATTATACTAAATAGATGTTAATTTTTTATGAATTACTATAAACCTTAAACCTACTTAAAAAAATGAATCAAATAATTTTTCAGTCAAAATTGTATAAATTCATTATGAATAATTACTATAGATTGTACAAGGAGGAAAAGTACCAAAGGAATTCTACTTGAAAAATGAAAAGAAGTTATCACAAATGGAGAATTACACAACTGTAACAATAAAAAAAGGAGACAAACTATACTTGCAATACAATGTAGCAGAACCAGACAGTTTTCTCAAGTAATTATTTAGAGTTATTCATCGTGATAAATCTATGATTTAAAAAAATATGACTAGTTATATAATATAATTAAGTTAAATTGCCAATTTCTATATAATTATGTGATTTTAAATTTTAAATTCAATTATCGAAATATAAAATAGTTTAACTAGTTTAAAAAATTGTTAAAGAATGATTTTTTTTTTTTGTAAAAATAAAAATAAAAATTTTTTTTATATGAAGCAGGATAAATATCAACTTTTTTATTAAAAAAATGAAATTTATCTAAGGATAACTTTTGTAAGTTTAATTTTGTAATCCTTATATTAGCATTTACAGATTAAGACAAAATAGAAAAGATATACTGTTTAGCAACTCTCTATTTTTACCATAATAACAAAGAATAATACTAAACATTGCATACCTTTCTTGCCTAAATCTAAAAATTATAATAATTCAAAAAGTAGTGTTAGAAAACTGGTTATTGGCAAGTCAAAACTTTACTTAGTCTATTTTTGATCTTATAATATTAATAGAAACAGATAGAGATATTTTCAAATCATACTCTATATTTTTATTGATTAACTTGAATTTTACTAATAAAATTTTTCTTTTTAAAGATGGCATTTTAGAACTGAAGGACATGATATCAAATTTGGTGTTTTAACTACAGATTCAGAAAATATCCAAACTATCCTAGTACCAATTAAGAAAGTATCATGTCATGAATTTGAAGAAACTGGTGTCATAATATGCAAATACCCAGGAACATGTATAATTGATAATTTATTATTTTAATTATATCTTAAAAATTACTTAATATAGTTTAAAATTTATTTTCCAACAGATACAGCTGTATTTGACAACAGTTACAGTTTTATGCGCAGTAAAACATTATCGTATGATATTCAAATTACTAAGCCCGTAAAAGATCCAAAAATGATTTCAATTGATGAAGAAGTAATTCAAAGAATAGAAGTAGAAGAATAGTACTCCATAAGTGAAATAGACTATTAAATCAAAATTAGTTATATAAATTATATTGTACAGTACAACATTATTATATATATATTATATTATATTAGCTATATTTATATTTTTAAAAAAAATTTAATAATATATTTATACAAAAATTATTTTAACTAAAAATCATTATATTTTTAGAAAAATAATTTTAAAGTTTGTTTTGTTAATTTTTTATCAATAATAATGATAAATTAAAACTTAGTATTAATCTTCAGATTCTTCAAATAACATGTTGAGCAAATCAGGTTTTAAACATTCCTCTACTTGTAGTTTGTACAATGTACCCCATTTCATTAGGGTAGGCAAAAATTGTAGTTTTGTTCTCTTGTCAGTTTTGAAGGGATTTCCAGGACAATTTTTCCACCTAAAACACATTGTTAACTAATTATTGTTTTTATAAAATTATTGATTTGTTATGAATATTTATGATAATGTTTTTTATAAAAAACAAACTAAAAAATATATATTAAAATTTTTTTACACAAATAAAATATATTAATTTTGCACATGTGTTAATTAATTAAAACAACTATAAAATTATCACAACATGTTTTTGTCAAAAAAACAAAGAAATTTAAAAAAATTACTTTAATTTTCCTTTAAAAAATTTTTCTGACTAAAAAAAAGTTAAGGTAATCAAGAAATATGTTAAATCCAGATTTATCTATTTTTCATAACATTTTATTGTTTGTAGTTTCTCTAAAATCATAAAATTATATTTTGCTAAATAGTCAACTAATTTCACCATATATTTGAACCTTAAGAAAAGTAAAATTTTAATGCCATTACTATTTATTGACATTAATAAAAAGACTTGGTTAAATTAATAAATTACCTAGACATTATATCATTATGACAATTGAAATTTTTACTACAAATATCAATTCTTAAGAACTAATTCTACAACTATCAGTTTTATTAAATTACTGTTTACTTACTCTTCTCGTTTTCCAGCATATGCAAAAATTATATTCGCATTTTTTAAACGTTCTTTATTTTTCTCAATCTGATTTTTAATTATTGGTTCAGCTTTTTTTAATGTAACAAAAAATTCAAGAAATGAATTATTTTATAATAAAAGTATACAATAAAATTTATTAATTCTTTAAATTCACTTAGAATTATTCTATCAAAATCAAAGATAATGCAAGGGAGGGTAGTTGTCCAGAGCCTTGTGGTTTTGAAATCATTATATTATAGGAAAATGAGGTATTATCAATTTATATATATATATATATATATATATATTGCTATGTCCATTACCTTGAATGCCTAATTTTAAATCAATAGTTAAAAAAAAAAAATGAATAACCAATTAAATAAGATCAAGAAGGACAAATGTAAGTTTATTATTCTTTTTAGAATAATAAGTAGATATTACTTCAATTAAAACAATTCCAATCCTCAATATTAAGTTACCTTTACAAGTATAAATAAAAATATATTTACAATACCCCATTTACGTTTACATTTATCCCACTTGGCCTTACATTGTTCTTAATAATTATTTACAAAATTTTTTTGAGGGTCTTGGTTTTTAGTTTGCACCCTGACCTCCTATATGTAAATCTAATACTGCTTATGAATCAAAAGTTAATGAAAATATTCATTAAAGCATAACGATTACCATTAACACAGTCTGAACACCAACTTTCTCCAGATTCATTTGGAGTGCCAGTAAATAAAATAAAAGACTCATGATTAGAGCCATCTAATTTCTTCATTAATGTTACAAATTCATCGTAAGTGTTAGTGTGATGTAAATTAACCATCCTGTAAATTGTAGTAAAAATAAATAATGTTTACTTCTTTAAAATTAAACAACACTATTTTGACAAATTACAAATGAAAATTCTTAAAAAACTTGTATAGAAATTTTAATGTGAGTTATTAAAAGGCCATAAAATTAAAATTAGTCTAACAACAATCGGATATACATACGCAATAATTGTCAAGTACTATGTTATCATGAAAAAAATAACCAAGGTAGCTTTGTTCAACAAGTTAAGATAAGTATGATGATCATTTACAAATATTTGTATGGAGTATAATCGTACATGGATTAATATTGCTTACTCCAAAAACATACAACTTTCTAAAATCATTCTACCCGACACCTTTCCTAGTAAACAAATTATATGATTATGTTATCAGTTTTAGCTATTTGCTATAAATTATTGTAGACGTCCAAAGATAAGATAAAACCGTATGGAATATATGACAAAGATAGGGGAAATAGAAAATATTTATAAGATAATTAATAATTTTCATCGCTACTAATTCTCCACGATAACATTCTTCAATGAGTAGTACAACTGAAAGTTTCTCGTCATGTGATAGGTGTCTTTCTTTAATTTTGTAATCTTGTGAAATTTGTGAGTACACTATTATTTTATTAATTATTAATTAATGTACACTAATATTTATATTTTAAAGATTATTTGAACACAATATATCATTTCTTAAGAACATAGTTGTATTAGTATCAATATTTAAAATAAATATTGACATTTACCACAGCTTTCTTAAAAATAATTGTGGTATGATTCTCTTAAAAATATATATATATTTTTTATAGTCAGAAAATATTGTATGGATTTAACTTAAATAAACTATGTGTAACAAATTAATGTATTAACCAGTAACGTGTAAGAAAAGTTCATATTGAGTAAATTAAAGTACATTACAGAAGTATATTAAATTCTTGATGTCGATCAGTTCAGGACGTCGTACTTTGAATGGCATAAATGATAACATTGTGGATCCTTTACATGTCTTTAAGTGGCATTGTTTAAATAACTTTAATACACAACAAAAGGTTTGTCCTGTAGTTAACTGTATTAACTGTTAACTATATGAGGATGTTCTAATATACGATTAACTCCATTCACTTTCATTAAAATATTAACATTGCTATTTCAGATTTTTTTAATTTTTTATGTTAAAAAATGTAATAAGTATTGGTTGATTTACTATTTTTTTTAAATTAATCACTAAGCATGTATGGTGTTTAATTGTTTTTAAAAAAAGGTGAAATAACCAGATAAATCCTTTATTTTTTAAATTCACTATTGTACAGGATTTTATTCACTAAATACTAATTTATACATGAAAAATAAATATGTCTGATAATTTTCATTAGAGGTATAACAAAAAATAACAATTTCATTTTTGTGTTTTAGTGTAAAACAAAATTTGTTTATATCTCCTAGAAATTTTTTAAAAGTAAACATATCTAGTTATTGCACCAGTGTCTTCAATTGCTTTTATGTTTATATTAAAAACTTTATATAATTGTGAGTAATCCTAAAATTTATAGTGTGTAATATTCAATTGTGGAAATGGAATTTAACTCCTAAAATATTACTCTTTAGAGGTGAGCGAAAATTAATTTTTACGATTACTGATTAACCGATAAATTGTTGCTGATATAAAACCCCTTATCATTTCAAAATTAAAAATTTTGCTCAAAGAACACATTTATTCATCTAGATAAAAAAAAATATGGTAAATAAAATAGGTATCAAGGCACAATGCATTTCTGATTAAATTAACATAAACCACTTAATTAGTAATATAATACAAATGTATTTACTAACAAATACCTATTTAATTAAAAAATAATCATATATGATTAAAGAAAAACAAATTTACAAATGAGAATTATATAGTATGTTTATTAAAGCCAAAAAAGTTTGAACACCTGGTGGTTAATTTTCGAAACAATACTTTTATTGTGAGAAAGGCAGCAATATCTGGTCTATTGGATAACACATTTTCCAATATATTTGATATCAACTAATATTTAATATTGGTTCAATCACTCCTATAATTTAAAAAACTAGAGTGTATTAATACAATAATATAAAATAAAATTACTATTATAAAAATTTTTATCACCTTTCTATTTAAAAATGGTAGTAAATACAAAAAGAATGATATCTTAGCCTTTAATTATATTCTTGTTAGCATAATATTTTGAAATACTTATACTTTAAAATAACATTTAGCATCTAAGAACTCAATTTTAATATATTATAACATTTTAAAAAATTTATCAAAGAGTTTAAAAAGTTTAGTTTTTAATGTAATTTTATTTACTAGTTACACACACACACACACACACATATATATATATATATATATATATATAGTAAATATATATTATTAAATCAATATAGTTTTAAATTGACATACCAAAACCCTGATGTAAAATTGTGTGAAACATAAAAACAATGAGCCAATTTTATAGTATTAAAATAAGTTATAAAGTATAATTAATTTCAATTTTTAAGTTTAGTAAAAATACATGAATTATTAAGACTCTTTGTGTTGTTAACTTTTACATTAACCTATAATATAAAAAATCACATCAAATTTTTCTGATAAATAATAATTTAAAATATATTTTTTTTAGTATTTTACTTAAAAATGTTGAAAAAAAATGTTTTTTATATATTTTTTAATTCCATAGTTTTTTTTCCTATGTATTGTGTGTGTTGATATTAATATAAAATACTATATAAAAAAGATCAGTTCAAATCTTTAAATATGGCCAATGCTATCCACCCAGTTAAGTTCATTTTAAATTAAGGTACAATCTGGCACGGTCCAAAACATGAAATCAGTAATATGACCTGACTATTGGATCGGGAAAAATTTGATTTGAATTAAGCTAACCTAACCCAAATTAACTTCTGCTAAATATACAATGTTCAGTAAATAAGGAAACAGGTGAATTGTTACAAATAATGTCAACAATAGATACCCGTTCCTTAAAGAACACCTATATATTCTTACATATTTAAATAGGGGGTTAAAAATAATGAAGAATGTCCTTTGCAAATATTTTGTTTAGAGAACAGTTTATAATCTATTTAGTAATTATAGATTTTAAGAAAAACTATTAATTAAAACAATCATATTTTGATTATAATTTTTTTTCACTTAATTAACATTATAATAAGTTTGATTATTGACATCAGAACTTATATCACATGGACTAATATTTTGATATGTGATAATAATGTTGTTTTTTATTTATAATCTGTATATGGAGTTAATTACATTTAAAAGAAAACTATAACATTACGAAGATTAGCACATTTGTCAATCTAATTTCTACTGGAGTTGCCAGAATTTGCTTATTAAATTACTATTTGTCCTGTTAAATGAAAGGTGTAGGTGTTGCCTACTTTATTTTATTATTTGAAATTGTAATATTAATTTCTAACGTATTGTCTAGGCTAGAAAAATGTCACAGTGTGATGTCAATGAAGGTATACCACTCAATTCACCTGCATTTCTTTCCTGGCGAAAATTACAGCTCAGTAGAGCAAAACTTAAGGCTTCCAGTAAAACATCAGCATTGTTATCTGGTTTTGCAATGGTATGAATTATCATTTAAGCTATTTAATAATATTATTTAATGAAAACATTTATGAACTGTTAAAATATATTAGGTGGCAATGGTTGAAATGCAAATAAGTCATGATTCCAAAGTTCCTGAAGCAATGCTTATAGCATTTGCAGTATGTACAACTCTTTTAGTCGCTGTGCATATGTTAGCTTTAATGATCAGCACATGTATTTTGCCTAATATTGATGCTGTATGTAATCTTCATTCTATAAATCTTGTTCATGAAGCTCCACATGAACGTCTACATTGGTACATTGAAACAGCATGGGCATTTTCTACACTTCTTGGACTTCTCTTATTTCTTGCAGAAATAGCTATTTTATGTTGGATAAAATTTTATGATATATCAGAGTTTGCAGCATGGTCAGCTGTAATAGTGCTAATTCCAGTTTTAGTAATATTTCTTGCATTTGCCATACATTTTTATCAGTCAATGGTTGCTCATAAATACGAAGTTACCATTAGTGGTATTAGACAATTGGAACTTTTAAAAGAGCAAATTGAAGCTGGTGACCTAGACCGTTCTAATGGATTATTAGTAAGCCAAAGTACAACTCAAATAGTATGACTGTGATTGAAAAGAAAATTAATAATTAGTATATTAAACAATGGTGCTTCTATTATACTATACTTGATGTAAGTATTCTAAAGAATATTTTACTAAAATTGACTATTAAAATAATACTCGCTTATCAAAAACTTAACTATTTTTTCTTCTTTTATTTTCAAAAAATTTGACTTAACCAACTTTGATAATACTACATCTTAATTATAGTAGAAGTCAATAAATAGTTCTACATTACCCTTTAAAAAAGTATATTTATTAATTATTCATCATTGTTTAAAAAATAATTAACCATTAAATATTTCAATATTTTTATTATTTGTATAAAATTAAGTAATAACACTAATAATATTTATTTCAAAAATATTTTAAACTTATTATTCAAACACTGATATATTATTTTTAAAGGTTATTATTGCTTATATTAGTTATAATAGAATTAATTTGTAAACCTTATTCTACTTTCATTTTTAACTTCAATTTTGACTTAATATTATATATTTTTTTAAAGAATTTTATTTGAAAATTCTTTAATAATGTGAACAACAAATTATTTTTTTTAATTCTATTTATTATTTTTATTTTTTATAAGTCCCCTCAAGATTTTTACCAAGATAAAAATCTTATAAAATTTATAATTATAGCTTATAAATAGTTCTTATAAAATGTAGCATTTGTTAAATATAAACATATTTTACTAAAAATTTGGGCTTGGTGTATACATTTTATAGTAATTCCTGAAATATAATATAATATACTGTTAAATATTTTTTTTTTATTATTGATTTTTAAGTAATAAATGTAAATTAGTAATTATAGATGTCATATTTTCTTTTATTGCATTTTTTATCACTTTTGACTTTTGATCATACTTATAGTTTAGTACAAATTTAAGTTAGTAACTGTGATATCTTCTATAATTATACTTTTGATTATTATGTTATATTTTAATTTAGTACTATTTTATTACTTCATTAAATGGTTATTTGTATTCATTATAATTACTCATAAAATATTAGTAGAATAAATTTCTGTAATACTCAATAGTATTTATATCTTATTTTTTGTGCGTGTGTGTGTAGTTTCCAAAAAAATAAAATAAAATAAATTGTCATTGTAATAATTATAATATAGAAATAAATAAATATAAATTTTGTAAAATACTAAAAATAATAATATTATTACTTGCCTCAGCTTTGTATCAAATTTAAAATGTCTGAAAAATTGCTAATTTTTATTAAAAATAATAGCTATAATAATAATAATAATAATAATAATAGCTTGGCTTATTTATAATTTTTCAAACACACTAAAAATGTAAAGCCTCCAAAAAACATAAGTATATAAGTATATGATTAAGTATTGAATCAGTCTCAGTATCACATAAGGTAAAGAATAATATTTTTCTAAAATTTACTTAAATTGGACAACAATTTTTGAAGTTCTATTATATGAATTTTTTTCTTTCCTTTTATAAAATATTTTTTACATAAAAATCAATATAAAATTTTAGGGTAGCTAATTCTTTATTTGCGAGTCAAGATCTCTAGTCCTTCTAGTCACATAAATGTCTACTTTTAATATTGTAGTTATTTTGGTAGTAGTATTACTTTATTAATTAAATCTAAATATTATTAAAAATATGTGTAACTAATAAGCCGTAAAACATACAAAAATGAAACCGTGTATACGTATTTTAGGAACAATTCTTATTATACTTTATTTAGCTTCTAAAACGACACTAAAAAAATAGAAAAATATTCTTGTAACCAAATATCAATTCCACACAAAATAGGTGATATCTGTGGTTTCAAGACATTCAATTAATTAATATCAAACAAAATTATAGTTTAATATTTACAAAAATTATATGAATTTCAATGCATAAAAATATTGTTAGTTAAAATCGTTTAAAAAAATGACGAAGTTTCTAAAAATTGATATTGGCGAGCCCAGCGGGTATGATCAAATGTTGTCAAAGCCAATATTGCGCACTGAACTCATGGAATCAAAAATGACAAGAATAAAATTTATTTAAACGCCTCTAGAGAAGTTAAGACACGTTTCTATAACTATAAATTAAAATATTTATAACCGTGTTATTTTAAACTGTAACCCTAGACATTTCTTTGACAAAAAATTACACATATTCGGGCCCGGCGTTATGAATTTCAAAACACTTATCAAATTTTATCTCCAAACACAATCTATTAATTAGGTTCGAATGATCTTTATTAATCCCTTTTTATACATCTCCCTGTACAAGCACATTATTTCTTCAGTCATGTATTATCTTATAGCCAATGAGGATTTTAATTTTTATTCTTCCCAACTTTTTTGTCAATTTAAAACTTTTTAATGAAAAATAAAATCTTATAATTTGAAAATATATTTAGCATTAATTAACCAAGTATAGGTTTTACGTCATTGTTGACATGCAAATCAAATTGACGATAGTTATAAACATTTTCAAGGTATCTGATTAAGTTGAATAACCTTGTTTGTAATAATACATTCATATCTCAGAATTTTTCAAAGAACTATTTTATTAGCATCATTATTGCTACAACACAAAAATATTGAATGTATATATATATATATATATATATATATATATATTTCTGTAACTACAAATTATTTTCAGCAACTTGTATTAATTCAATTTTTACATTTCAATTCAAAAGTCCTTCAAAACATAATAAAGGACATAGAATTCACAAAAAATTAAAATCGTATTAATTTTTTAATTAAAGCTAATTGACGATATTTATTTAAAATACATATTTTAAAAATTTTAAATCTTGTCCAAAGTATTTATTTTTTCACATTATCCTATGAGTTTTAAACCGAGAGAGATGTAACAAATAATTATGTATTAAGTATTCGGAAACATTTTTTTTGACAAAATGTGTAAAATTATTATATAATCATTAAATTACAACAAATAAAAAATACGAGGATGTTTATAAATACATATTCGAATAGTTAATTTTAGTGCCTTTGTGTTTAAGTAAATAGCTATGATAATTTATTTAAATGATCCAAGAGAAGACTAAGAAAAAATGTTTTATCAATGAAAAATAAGGCAATTATCATTAGGTGTACACTAAAAAAAAATATTTATTAGAATTAACTACTAGATATTATAGAGGATATATTCTTAATGATTACTTTAAATGTAATGAAATAATTACAAAAATAATTCGAATTCCACTACTCTTACTATTATTAACTATGAATAACCGACAATACTCCAGTAATTAAATTTTATCAATTATAGTAAATGTAATCATACATGTTATTTATATTTTTATAAAATACATGAATACTTATGGACGATTTTTTTGAGAAGGTGCACCTTCTCACAAAAAACCATTATAGTAACAAAACAATTGTATGGTTATTAAATACAAAATTTAACCAGAATAAATGAAACTAAGAGAGACAAAAATTGTCTTCTAATAATGTGATTATTATATTTAATATTATATTATTTCTCAAGTTTGAATTAAGCTTGTAAACAAAGTAATTAAACCACATTCCATTAGGTTCTTATAAGAAACATTATTATTAGCAAAATAAAAATTGTTCAGTTTAAAATATTTATTATGAATTTTATTTAAAAATTGGTATGTATTTATTTAATTTACAATGAGAATAAAAAAATCATAGTCATATTGATAGATCTCTCACGTTTAATTTCTTCCCTCAGGGTCAACACGCAGACATTATTTTTTCGAATAATAATTCGTACATAGCTATACGAACGAATTTCAGGGTTGCATAGATCTCGAAAAAATAATCATTAAAATAATGAAATTCAGTTAAAACTTCTATTAGAATATTATTTTTTCATAATTTAATTCGTGTTTATAAAATAATTACATGTTAAAGTCTACCAATTATAATGTATAATTTGAATGTGTTCGGGTCAAATGTAGAGATTATAAATCAAGCCTCTCTTCTACTCGCTAGTGGTGCAAAATTTCGATATAACATTGTAAATTACATTTCATTGTAATAATTAAAATGTTAGAGACAAAAAACATTTGAGGCGCGTTTATATAAATTGCACAGAGTTTTGTCTTAAAGGTTTCGCTCTTAATTGCCACTACTCTTTAGTTCTTTCTTCGTCAGAAACGCGCAAAGAAATTTTAGGATGTCACTGAAGACGACAAATTTCTTATTCAAATGCGTCTTGATTGTTTATTTATATTAGTACTTAAGACTCTGCTAGTAAGTCTAATAAATACTAAAAACATCCGAAATATGAAACCCGATCAAAGGAATAACACACTACTGGTGCGAACGCCACTTCAGAGTTCTGATTCTAGATGAGGCTGCGTTGAATTTTTATTGTGGTAGTAGTGGCGAGCATTGTTCGAATGTCGAAGCGGCGGCGGCGGCGGTTGTGTTGATGTCATTGTTGTCGCCCGGTGTTTTTTCGACGGACGACGGCAGCGGCGCAACCTTGGACACGAAATCGGCGGCAGACTGAGTTTTTGTTTTCCGAATGTATAGACGGAAAACATTTTGTTGATCGAAACCAGGTGCGCATGCGCCACGGCAACAACGCACCGCGACCAGCAGATGTTCACTAAACATTGTTTTATAACGTGAACTAAACCCAAGGTCGCTGCAGTTTGCCATCAACCATTATCCCATTCAAACGCGTGTTATACCCAATGTTATTATTTTGATACCGGCAACACCTCCACCGTCAACAATTGCCACCACCGTCTCCTCGACTGTTTCTTTGCCGTCGTTTAATCGTTAATAACATGATATAGTTTGCCCTGAAATCGCTATGTGTTTAGTATCGACAATTTTTTGCGAAAACGTCTGTGCCCCCGTTTCCGTGTTGTGATCGATTCCTTTACGACTATTTTGATCCAACAAGTACTCGACCCAAAATAGTCCTCTCGGCATGGAATGGTACAGGGAACAGACCGTCCAACTGATCGACCTTTTTCGGGCTCGGCCGGCTTTGTGGGACACTAGTTCGGTGCACTATCGGAACAAGCGGATGAAAAATGAAGCTCTTGAGCAGATCAGCGCCAAGCTCAAATGTCCAAAGGAAGAAATCGCCAAAAAGATCTGCACGCTCAGAGTACAGTTCAGCCGTGAAAACGTCAAAGTTAAGAGGGCCCAAGAAGCCGGCACTGTGTACAATCCCAAATGGTTTGGTTATCAGTTGCTGTGCTTCCTCAATGACCAATCGCGGTTTTCCTCTGGAACGTCCGGCGTATCCAACTATGCCGCTGCCGTCGCAGCAGCCCACGCAGCCGCCCAGCATGTAAGTATATCGTTTGTTTTTTAACCGGGTTGACGGCGTTGCGCGCGCCCATCTGACTAAGCGGCACGAGTTAGTCTGGCGCGTTTTTTTTTTTAACGGATACTATATTATTTATTGCATTACACAGCTGCTCTTGCATCTGACGCAGCGCTTGCGTTGTACATGCGCCCACTGCGCTCTGCCAGAATCTGTATTTTAATTTTCTCACACGAATGTCTACCCCTTGAATTTAACCGAATATTTCAAAATCAATCAATAGTATTATTACTTTTCAGTTGAAAATTTTATCTGGTATAAGTTCATAATTATCACTGAATTTACTAATTGCCATTAGTATTTATAGATAACACGAACGACTCGAGATTACTTCAGTTCGTAAATTAAATATAAAAAAAAAAAATCACTATTTATTTTTCAATGATATTATTAATAAAAAGTAATTATAATATTATATTTAAGTAATTGTGTTGCTAATGACGAGTTATTATGCTTTGACCTACTCGTATTCGTATCAATTACGTACGAAAATGTTTTATAGCATGTCCAAAATACATAAAACAATAAAAGTAAAATAGTTACTATTTCTAATTATTTTTAAAAGGTTTTATTTACATATAGTATATTTTTTAATCGTTCGAAAATGTCATTGTTGTAAAAACTATGAAACGTTTTAATCTAAAAATGATCAATTTATAAAAAACAATATGAAGTAAAATTGTGTAAAAACAGATTTTTATTTAAATTTTATTTATTCACGTTTAAAAGTTGTTAATCAATAGAATTTATATAGGAAAATGTAATTAGATTTAATTTCATATTGTGTTTATTGTTCAAACATAAAACGATGTTCTACTCCGTTGCCAAGGAAACACAAATAAATTTTTCTACTTACCATCAACATTGTACGTGGAATTGTAGTGGTGTACTACTTATTCCAGTAAAAAGTATTTTATTTTTCTGATTTCGTAGTAAATAAATTACTCCTAACATTTTCTCAGGGCCTTATTTAGGTTTAGTTGCGCTCGTGCTAATTTTCAGAAATGCGCCTCAAAAAAAATATTGTTTATTTTTCAAGTGTTAACATAGAAATACTACATGAAATACTATATTTTGTAATTTTTATTGAAGAAAATTCTAAAATTAGTGACCCCGTTACATACAATTTTGCCAAGCCCTAAATGCAATTTCGTCGGAATAATAGCTAAATATTTTCTTCATCCAATTCTCGCGCGATTAAAATACCATCTAATATTTTCAAATTTGTCTAAAAAAATCAACTATTTAAATATACTTCATTTTTATGCAAATATATCTATAGTTTCTGCTTATAACTAAAAGTTATTTACGATTTATTACATTTTTTTAATTACATTAATTTAAAATTCCTTAAAAACCAAAAAAAAGAAAATATCTAAGAAACTAATTAATTTTACATTGTATATTATTATCAAATTATTTGCATACATATTATGAATAATACTGAATTATTAAATTTATGTATTAATTAAAAATCGTTTGTTATCATTCATTAGCTTTTTTTTTTTTTTTTTTATAATCAAACCTTGTGTAAATTTGATTTTTGCAATAAATTATTCACAATTTGAGTCATAATAATGATTTATTAGAAAATTTTCATGTTCAATAAGACGAACTATTAAACTAAACATAATCAAGTATAATGTATACTGCATTACTTGCTGAAAAATGAATCATTACATTACAAACATCTCAGGGTACGATAGTTTATTGCTAATAATATAATACCGTGTGCTGTCATGTATCAATCGACACAATGCTCAAAAGTATTATCATTTATTGTACGTTGATACTTATATTAAAAAGATAAGTAGTCTTAGACTTCTTTATTAATTTTTACAATTAGAATATTAAATGTTCTAGCAGTGTTTTTATTGAAAATTAAAGATTTACCAAAAATAATTCCTTGTATATTTTTAACCGATAAATTAAATTTTTTATTTACCTCGTTTTAATAAATAAATTCTCAAAAAAAAAGATGGCTTTTATATTTTTTTTACTTACATTATTAATACTTGTAAATGATAAATGTATAAATTTTTATTTTGTAACTATTAATGTAAACAAATCTCCAATGTCCATTATTTGGCTATATTTTATGTACCAAAAAATATCGGTACAGTTTTTTTTTTTTTTGTTAAAAGCCCAAAGGCTGGTTGGCAGCAATTTTCCACTCTTGACGCTTCTCGGCTTTCCTTTGTAATTCGCAATAAGATCTGCAGTCCATACATCTAACTATTTAACTAATGTAGTCCAGTGGTGGTCTCCCTCTGCTGTTGGTCCTTCAATGGCACCTTCTATTATTCTGCTTAGTAGACTGTTATGACGCAGTACGTGTCCAATTAACTTGGCTCTTCTTGTTTTTAATGTCTTCAGAAAACTCCTTTTTTCTCCGGTTCTGTGACAAACTTTTTTATTTGTTATGTGTTCTGTCCAACTAATTCTTAGTAGCCTTCTGTAACACCAAATCTCGATTACTAGGAGTCTTTTTTTCTTCTGTTTTACTTATGGTCAATTTCTCACTTCCATACAGTGCTACACTCCAAACATAAGCCTTTAGTAGGTTTTTCCTCGCTTTTATATCAATATTTCTGGATATGAACATATTTTTCTTGCTCTAAAATGCACATTTAGCCTAGTTTATTCTGCTTATGATCTCTCTGGTACTACGGTCGTCCTCTGTTAGATTACTTCCCAAGTATTTATATTCATTTACTTGCTCTAGTGCGTTACCATCAGTAAAGTAAACATAAATGAATAAAATGCATATTTTATTTCGTGGTATTTGCTAAAAAATTAGAATTTTAATAACAAAATTTAGCTTTTAATGTTTTTGAAGGTCACAGACATTTTATTATTATATTATTTTAGATGTGAAAATATAAAATTTTCCAAAAAAAGAAAACAGAAAACGTTTTTTCGTATGATAGTTATTTAAAGTTGTCAGAAAATATTCAGTGATCTAAATAATTAAATTCCCAATATAACAATTTGATTACAAAATAATCCTTAAGTATATATGGCACGCAAACCAATATATGTGGTCACTATTGATTAACTAATTTGTAAGGGGCGTTGAAAGTTGTAAACTAACTTTTTTTTTTATTTTCATGTTGTACAAAAACTACTCACGGAGATCAATAATTTTCCAAATCTATTTAAAACCTTAATAACTAAACTGATTCTGATACAAAAAATGATCTACAATGAGACCAGAAATTTATAATAAATAAAAACTTAGTAAAATAATGAAATTAATAAAAACTGTAAATAGATTCAGAAACATCTTTAGTTGATTTATCCAATTAGGATATATGTTTTTAGGTAAATAATGATATTAAGTTCATTATATTGCATCTTGATTATTTTTTTTATGAACTTAGGAATTTTATTTATTTTTTATTAAAGATATTTAATTCAATTTTTAAAAAGTCATTTTATTTTTAACACTCTTATAGCTAAAATTTAAAGATATCCTAGTAACAAATTTTTTGTATCGTGTCAATACTCTTTCAAGTTTATTACATTTACTATTTCAGAATTATTTTTATATTGAATTGTTTTCCATTGTTTTAATTTCAATGAAAGAAACGACGTTATGCAATTTGATTGCTGTAGTTCTTGAAATTTTGTTTTTGGAAAGTCCACTGCTAATAAAAGTTGTAAATTGTGGAGTATTTGTCTTCTTGAAATGAAAACTTGGTAATTCTAAGAATTTTTTTAGCTGTCAAGAAATTTAAATTGGGTATATTAATTGAACATAATACTCTAATCTGTAATTTATTTTTAGTAATTGTTAATATCTAGAAATCTAATAAAACATTAAATTCTGCACTAATCTGAAGCAATACGATAATCATTGTTTAAAAATCTTTTAAAACCATTTGACTAACAATAAAATAACACTGAAATGAAAATCGATTAAACTGTTGTTTATATAGTGTTTTAGGTTTAACTGACAATGCTCATAACTTTTAATACAATTATCGTTTTGTTGAATTTTTTTTTTTGAATAATCATTTCCTTCTTAAAATATGTTTAATATTATATTTATATATATATTATAATATATAAATATTTTTTGTATTATTCAAAATGGCCATTTTATTCTATTTGTTACAAAAAAGTTTGATGGATCAATAACAATTTTAGAATAATCAGTTATTGAGTTACAAGCATTTTAATACATAGATTGGGTATGGAATGCGAGCTACGTATACGTACAGTACTGCGAATTTTCAATTGAAATTACCTATCCTCATTACATACCAATTTTTTATATTAAAATTTTTATAACTTAATGAGTACTTGTCTTAAAATTATTATTTTTGTTCTTATGAAAAATGTAGATACATTGATTTTTACCGCTTTTCCCCTGTAACCTTTATTTAAATTCTTAAGAATTTCCGACAAACAAACAGTATTCTAAAACAAAATTTTTACTTGATCGTATTAACAAAAAAATATGTATATATATCCATAAAATTAAAAAAAAATCTTTCTGAATCCATTAAGAGAATCAATTGCTCTGTTTTCTTATAGTATTGTTATTATTATATTGATTAATTAATGAACTTCAATTTAACATAACTGAATTGTACAAATATCAATTAATTTTTTTTTTTTAAGTACACGCAACCTTATTAAAAGTAAATGACTCTTTGTATAATTTTTAAAGCTATTCAAATTAATTATTCATTTAAAAAAAAAGTCTGTTAATGACTGGAGAAGTATTATAATTTTTATTGAAACAATTGACTCATTTACTTTAAACTTGAATTGTACTTCGGTGTACAAAACGTTATTTTACTTATTTATATTACTATGACACACACTGTTCATCAAAATATTAAGTGGTGATCTCAACATGTGCGGAGTCAAATATTATAACGGAACCGAAGTGCTGTTTAACTTAGCACATGTTATGGTATTTATCATTTAAAATCTATCAACAAGTAGTTACTTATCTTCTTAAATGAGCAACAATGGTGGTTTGCCCTGTCTCCTATTTAACAACTATTAAGTCGATTTCAAATTGAATATTGAACAATATGCTTTCTAGTTATTTACATAATACTCATCCAACTACAATCAATAAATTCATTTCTATCGTTGTATAAACTAGAAATAAGTTTCATATATCTAGTCTGAATAAACTGAATTATTAAAACAAAATGACTCAGTAAAATTTTTAGTTTCTCCAAAATGTAAGCTGGTTAATAAAACAACATTTTTTATAATTAGTATCCATGTATCCTAATGTAAACAATTTTGTTATTTTTATTTTTCATTATGTTACAATAAAATACTGTCCGTTTTTTTTTTTTTCAAATTTCAATTACTCTTAGCTTGATTATTTTTTGCTGGTGAAAATTCATTAGAATAATGTTTTTTTTAAAATCACAAAACTATTATGTTTTTAATTCACAAAAATTACAAATAAAATACATTATACATATGATGTGTGTAAAAACAATAACAATTGCTTTTAATATTCAAGAGTACTCACAAATCAAACAATTATCAAGTTCTTTATTTCAAATTAATTTTAAACATTTTATTTACAATTGTATATATTTTTCTTTAACGTTATTCACACAATAAGTTTTTAATGATTTTTATAACTGGAATCATTTTATTACCGTGTTGTTATTCAATACAATATACTTCCAAATCATCAACAACAATAATAAATTAATGGTGCTACTAATTTTTTTATTATCTTAAATTTTATTTATTATTACATTGGAAAATTATTAAAAACAATTACATTTAAACATAAAATTATACAATTTTCTACATAATTTTGATTTTTTTTTAATCATGGAATTATTTTTATAATGTGATATTAAAATTTTTTTTTTTTTCAAATATAATTATTGTTTCTTAAATGCATCATTATATTATAAAGTTATCTTGTACAAGAAATAAGAACTCTACTGAAAAAAACTTGAAACGCTATAATTTAGGCTCAGATTTTGGTGATGGAAATTACTTTAAAGTGTTTTACATTAAAAAATTTCCGAACAATTTGACTAAAACATGAAATTTAATTAGGAAAATTAAGTAATATTTTACGTTTTTTTATGTCTTATAGTTAACTCATTATTTTTTTATCATCGTTCGCATTGATGTACATTAAGTTGATCTTTACGTAGTTTTTTAGATATTAATAATTACACAAGTTTTGTTCAAATGCATAAATTACAATTTTTATTTATTTGTTTTAGCAGGACGGGGAAAATCAACAGTTCCAATGGGGTGCTCCGTTGTCAGATGATAACAGTTATATAGAGGCAGCTAACGATACAAATACGAGCAGCTATGAAGCAGACAGCGTGCAGGCGTCCACATTGCACGGTTCCTCCAAAATTGATTTCCACCACATGGACGATTACCGTGAGCCCATAGTGGACGTGCAAGAGCCACAAATGCCGTGGCAAAGTCGTAAAAACAGGGCCCAACCCGATGACTCTGACGACGATATTGGCGGAGGATATAGGAAAATGATCCGGATGAGCAAGCCGGAAACTGACGAATTCAACACGTTTTCCGATTATATCGCCGAGCGAATGCGTAACCTTAAAGGTGACAAAGCTCTACAACTGATGGCTCGACGTGACATCGAACAAGTGCTGTTCAAATACGAGATGAAGTTGCTGGAACAGAAACGGGATACTCAACCGGAGACCATGGCGGCCACAACCTCTAAGTCGATATCACCAACGCCTACCAGTGACTCAGAACAACAATAGATCAGTCCATCAATGTTTTATTCCTAAAAAGTCGTTGCTTGACCATTTTATCCAACGTTGTTTTTTTATATATAAAAAATTTAATATTTCATGTAGATATATTTTTAATTTAAACATTTTAGTATTTAAAGTTTCAAAACGTCAACGAAAATAAAACAAATTAATTGTTATACTCGTTATTAGTTTATAAATTACTTGTAATCATAAAGACTTATAAAAATAATTGTTACGCAAATTATTTGATTCCTACTGGTTGTACATTGTTATGCAATACAAAATTATTTAACAATAATTAAATTGACTTTTTTTATTGGAGTTTTATTTTTATCAATTATTAAGAAGTAGTTTAAACTAATTTTTCATTTCGATACGAATTTTAAAAAGATTTTTTTTTTTATATCTTTTTATGGGACCAAGTTCAGTTGAATTCAAAACTATAATTATACCAATGTGCAATTGTGCAAAATAGGTGTTATTGTCACTGTACCAATAAATAAATTTAAGCAGTGGTTTATTCAAGAAGGAGGGCGCTGACAGGTCTATATTAGCAAATTATTACTATACATAATGTAAGATTTTGGCAGTAGTAAGAATAGGTAAGCAAAAAAAATAATTAGCCCACCATTTTGAAACTTGGGCTCTACTGAGACAAAAATAAGATAATGCGAAATTATTTCACCCCACAATTGTTACTCAAAAACTATTTATATATAATAATAATTATTATTATAAAATTATCGATTTGATCTGTCTATCACCAAAAACAGAATATTTTCAAATGAGTAATTTAAAAACCATATGTCAGTTATATGATTTTAGATTGTAATTTTTTTTTAGTATGTTTTTTTTTCTTGTAGATAAACTTTGATCATCCATACAGTTAATACAACTTCCTTTATTTTAAACATGAAAATCATTATTTTATTATTTTTTTTTTAGATTGAATTTATTTGCCCTAAATTAGAATGAATTAAAATACACATCATCAGTATATATTCATACTGATGATGTGTGTTAAAAATATATATATTCTTTTACGAACACTTGCACATTACGAAATAACCAATTGAAATAAAAAAAATATTGCTAATTTAGGATATATCAAAAATATATTTACAAGTTGTCATGACAATCATAACCCATTTTTATGAAAACCAAATTTATTGACCATTGGTGAAAAAGTATTGATGCTTTTTAACACGTAACAATGTTATTATATAAATAGAAGCACTTGCTTTTCATTCATAAAATCTTTTAACGCTATTTCGTAATAGTAAACCAAAAATAACAAAATAATTTTGTGCATTAAAAATAAAATTAAATACTTGTAATTCTGTATTTAGTCACAGTCTTTACTATAATTTAAATTACTATCAGTGGTAGGTCGTTATCAAATCATCTACTGACGTCTGCTGATTGTTATCGGATATCCGCTAGGCAGTATCATGTAATCATTATTCATTCATAGACTTACGAATTAGGCCTTAGTTGCATACCCTCTTGTAAGTAGAGGGGGAAAAAATACGAAATTCAATCAAATTAATTTTAATGTTTACATTAAAACATTGTAGTATAAGTTATAAAAAACATCTTTAGTTTTCGAAATCAATCAATTTTTAATCAAAATCTTTACAATAATGTCTGATGAACTTGCCAATCCAAATACTTGGCAATATGTTTGTTATTCACTGCCAGTTATTATACCATTATCTGTATTTATGTTTAACAAATGTTGTTCCAACAAATATAACACTTTAAAATCTAAGGTAAGTTAACTATTGGCGTCAAGTGTAATTTTATTAATTTGCTTAATGTTTACTGAGTCAAAAAATAATGATTTTTGACCTCAAAATGACCTTATATTTTTATTACTTTATTTTAAAATAAATAATATACTAGGTGGTATTAATAACTGGTGCCAGTTCTGGATTAGGTGAAACATTAGCCCATGAATTTTATTCACATGGGTGTGCATTGATTTTAACTGGAAGAAATCCTACAGAGCTAGAACGTGTGAAAAGTGATTTGTTGAGTCGAAATGATGTAATTATTCAATATCTAGCCATTAGTAAAAAAAAAATGTTTAACAAATTTTTATTTTTATAGGTAAAGAATGTAAATAAACCATGCACTTTAGTCTTAGATCTTATTGATCAATCTACCATTGAAGTTGTTAGTCAAAAAGTTTTAGGAGTGTTTGGTCGGGTTGATATTTTGATAAACAATGCTGGTATAAGTTATAGAGGTAGAGCTGATGCAACAACAGCTGAAGTTGATTACAAAGTTATGTTAGTCAATTATTTTGGTCAAGTTGCACTTACTAAAGGTAAAATTAGTAAAAGTTATAGAATAACATAGTGGTAATCCTCAAAAATGAATTAATTAATAAAAATTAGAAATAGTTTACCCATTTTAACTTATTTGCTTTTTACTTATAGCATTATTACCTAGCATGATACATCATAAGAGTGGACACATAGTAGCAATAAGTAGTGTTCAAGGAAAAATAGCTGTTCCATTTAGGTAATGAAATATAGTTTATAAAAATCTGAAATAATATTTGTATAAAGAAGCATTATGACCAATTTAGAGTTATTTGAACAATTAAAAATTGATAATTTTATTTTTATTTTATTAATATATTTTCAAGTGAAGAGAAGTTGCATATTAAAAAGAATATATCATAAATTTTAACTTAAATGTGTAAAATAAAATATTAAAAAATCATTTACTCTACTACTAAAGTTTATAATTACAAATTTAAACATTTAGGGTGAAGTAGTGTAAATGTAAACTAAAATTATAATTGTAAATTAGAATTCTTCTCTTAATAAATTTAGCACATTTTATTTTAGATTGAAAAATTCTGGGCCTTATATGTGTTTCTGTAATATTAATAATTACAATTACCTCACTTCACTCTACATTATTTAAATCAATTTTGATTTTATAAATAATCAAATTACTCAACATGATAAAATTTATTCAATATAGTTTTAAAATTAATGACCTAAAATAATTAAAAAGTATAAATGTCCTTAAATAAATATTATTAAATCTTTTATGAACTACTAAATACAATATCTACATTTCAAATTCTAAACACTTGTGCCCTAATATTAACATAAAATATCTTAATTAATTTTTTTTTCAACATATTATTTATGGTAGTTATTTCATAAATGTCAATTTTTGATTAGTACACGAATGGATAATTTCTTACTGTTGTAATATTTGTTTAATTATATCATTCCTTCATTTATGCATGTACAAGTATATCTTGAAAATGTATCTAAAAATTACATATTTTATAGATGTATTTATTTAATATAGTAACAGCCTGTTAGCATAATCAAATCCAGAATTCTAATTTTTTTTTTTGATTAAGTTGTTATATTTAAATTTCCTAATTTATTTATTGTTCATAGTGAAAATGTAATGAGTAATAGTAAAAATGTTTATTTTGTATAAAAATTGAAGCCTTGGACTAAATGAACCCCTATAATTCTTTAATATCTGGCTCTTAGCTTAATTAGTATTATCATTAATTTTGAAAAATTATTATTTCTTAATTAATTTATATATACTTAATATAAATAAAATAAAAATTAATGCATTAGTTAAATTAATTAAATTAAAATTTTTCATAGGAATTATTATCACTTTTTTTTGAGAAACTATGATTTATCAGTTGTTAGATAATTATTTAGAATAATAAAGTAATATTATAATAATTATAAATTTATTTAATTATAATTTGTAAATTTGTAAAATTTACTAAAATAACTATTATATTCATTAAAATTTCATCTAATTTAATTTGACTCTGTAACCAGTGACGATCCTAGGTTTTGTAGGGCCTGTGACAAATCATAATTCTGTAGCCCCTGTACCAGAAAAGAGGAGTTTGAGTAAGACAGATCCCCTCAATAAAAATTATTACATGGTGAAAACTTTTTTTATTTGTATGTGTAATAAAAATTTTTCCTATGTATACCCCCTGCCATAAATATCTTCTAACTACACCACTGCTATGTACTGACACTGTGTATAACAATATAACTACTAGCTATTTTACTATTAACTGTAGTATAAAAATATATTATTAAAATAAATAAGAAAACTCTGTTGTTTCATTTTGATATAAGGTTTATAATTATAGTTATCACTATTTATTTATAAATATAAATATTTTATATCTTAAGAATATTGTTTAATTTTTTAGATCTGCTTATACAGCATCAAAACATGCTTTACAAGCCTTTTTTGATACATTGAGAGCTGAGATTTCACATCATAAAGTGAAGGTAACAGTTGTAAGTCCTGGTTATATTCAAACTAATTTGTCTTTAAATGCTTTGACTGGATCTGGCTCAAAATATGGCAGTAAGTGTATTAAATTTTTTTAATTTTTAATCATTTTTTACTTTTACACTATCAATATTTTTTTATCAAGAGTAATTAAAATTATCATATAATAACCACAATTTTATAACATAATTAATGCATTGGTCAGGATTTTAATTTGGTAGACATTTTATTTTATACTTTTATAAAACATCTAATTCAGCTTCAAATCAGTGTTTGTTACTCAAGGTATCTTAGACAATAATGAAATATTTAAATATGACGAAGTTTAAATTAAAACTAGAAATAACTTCTTTGGGTCTATTAACTATCTGGAATGGTTTGTATAATCATTACATTGAATGTCACTAAATCTCATGATATTAGTAGTTTATTATGTACTTAATAATATTATTCTTTTACAGTTATGGATGAATCAACAATGGCTGGTTATTCTGCTGAGTATGTTGCTCAACAAATTGTAGAGGCGGTAGTTGATGATGAACAAGAGGTTATAATAGCTCCACTATATGCCCGCTTAGCTATTGGATTACGTTACATTTGGCCTAGATTGTATTTTTGGATAATGAAATACAGAGCTAATCGATATACTAGTCAAAAAATGTAGGATTTAAGGATTCCCTGCCATCAGACAGACGAGCATCGGCTGCAGCCCGTTTTTGTCGGCATACGGGAATCTCATATTTGACAAAAAAGGTCAGTCACTATATTTTTAGAAGTTGATCAAATTTTTTATTGTTTTATTTTGTATGGTTCCATGAATACTCTAGTAAATAGGTATTTTAGATGCACAGTTATGATAAAAATTTATGAAACAAATAGATATTATGCAATGGTAATTAATTTTAAATTTGATCTTATGCACTTAAAATTATGAAATTTTTTAAATTAAAATTATTTTAATTATTTTAACTAACTTGAAATACACTTATTTTTGATTTCCCATTTTATTAAAATTTATATTTTATTTTCTATTTAAAAATGAAGTTGTTTTTAAAAAATTTATAATATTTTTTATTTGTTACTGTATAAACATTCCATGTATATTTTAGTAATTGCCGTCCATATTATGCTTAAGGATTTATGAAAAATTCTATTTTTTGAATGTTTATATGTACTATTAACATAACTTTATTAGGAATTATAAATTAATGATAAATAATTAGGTTTTCATAAAAAATAATAAATTTTCACTAACAAAAAAAAATAATAATAATAATAATAACACATGTTAATATTATTAAATTTGATGCTCTTAACTCTTAGTAATAAAATATATTCTAGATATCCTATGTCAATTACTGTTGTTTAATTAATTAATCATTAACTGTGCATAATTGCATTAATTTCAATTATAACTTTGCAAAGAAGCTTATCTTAGTTAAGTATTAATAATATATTTTCTTCTACTATTGTAAAAAGTAGAACAAATTACTTTGTACAATTAGTTAAACTTGACATATTATGTTTGATTAGTCTAAATTGTTTTACCAAAGTTTTATAATTAATTTTATTGTTAGTCAATTATATTTTTTAAATGATCTCTTTCTTTCTTCATAAGACTATTTACAAATTAAATTATGTAATTATAATGATTAGTTGCTTGATATATGGTGCTTATTACACATCTTGTGTTCCTTTTTATTAAAGTTTTGACAATATTTATGTAATGTTTCTTCACAATTTTTGTATCACCAGAGAATTAATTTTATTAGCCACTAATTTACTTATTATATACATGTGAATATAACAGCGTATTGACAATTACATTTTAGAACTTGTTTAGCTCATGTAATAGCAGTAGTTCTGACATTTGTCAATTATTTATGTGTACCTATAGTGAGTTATTAATATAGTTTCAACCTTTACCTATGAATTTGAAAACTGTGTTTTTATTTAGTGATTAGAATACCAAGTTTTATTCTGTAGTTTATAGTTGTTAGCTAGAAAATACATTTAATGCAGCGACTAGTAAAAGTAAAATAGAAATAGTGTCTACAAAACAAATAGATAATTTTCTACAGAAGTCAGTATGAAATTTAAGAACTAACTAATAATCTTGCATAGATAAAAACCAATAAAAAAAATCTTTTTCACTAAAAAAAAATAAGGGTCCTGAGAAAAATTTTTTTTTATTAGGGCCTGCTATAACTAGCATAAACACATTTCCTTAAATACTTTTTTGAATTTACTAGTTCATTATTAATTTGATAAAGATATTCATAAGAAAGAATCGTTCATTTGCAATCCTATTATTATTATCTTTTTTTTTTTATAATCAATGCCTCGACTTTGGTGGTCATTGACAAAAGGTTGATTTTACATAAAAGATCAAATATACATGACAGGGGTTTTATGTTGAATACAATAATTTGAAATGTTATAAATTGTTTTTTTCATAAAATGTTTTATAATTTGCTGATTATGATGAGTTTTAATGTTTTGGGCATTATTGTTGAGGTATTCTGCAAAACTGTTTAGTTTAATTTCTTTCTTCGGTATACTGGAGACATTCTAATAGTAGCTGTTTAAAGTGACTTCAGTTCCACAAGTATTATCATTTTTACTGATATAATCAATAAGTTCATTTTTTTAAATATCTTCATAGAAATAATTATAGTTAAATATTAGTTTGGTTATAGTTTGTAAAATGTGTATTACAATATTTTCTACTTAGTCTAAGTAAATTTTTTTTTATACATCGGATTATTTACAAAAAATCATAAAAAAAATTTAATGGAAATAGTAGTAAGTCAAATATTTTACGAACCAAATTTATTTTTGCCAATATATTTTTATTTAAAATTTCTAGTTTTTTTTAAGTTTCAAATATATACAGTTAATATATCAATTATTCTGTTATATACATTTAATGAATGAGTAACTATTATTTGAGAAATATATCGATAGATACAGGAAATTGAATATTCCAAAATGACAATTAGCACAATAGATATCCTGTACTACTACTTACCTAATATATATATATATATATGTATTCAAAAGCCTGTATCTCTACACTACTTTTCCAAATATATTTATTAATTACTAAAATTATTTCTTATTAAATATGTTGTTATACTAACTTTAATTGACAGAATGATTTTATTTTATTTTTTAAATACTTCTTTTTACAAAAACAAATAAATAATTTTGCTTTTTTGTAGTAATGTTTAAAAAATAAAACAAAAATGAGTTAAATTAAATAATAATAAGAATTCAATTTTTAGTTACATTAATTGATTGATTTTTTAAATTTAAAAACAAATATTTTATTATAACAAATATTAAATACATTAAAAAATGAAATATGTTAGAAATACTGGAAGGCCACAGAAATAATATTTTTGAGGAATCAAAGCAATATTTTCATCTATGAAATATATTATGTTGTAATATGATGTAGGATTTTAAAAGCCTGATTTATATTATAATAAAATATTAATTTAAGCATTTTTAAGTATTTGTATGCATGACGACTAAAGTCCAAATTTATATGCATTTATACATTTTGTTAAATTATTCCAAACACATTATTAATCAGTACAAATTTTTATTATTAAGCTTGAAATGTAATAATATGATCTATTAGGGGATGTAGTCTTAGAGATGTTAATTTTCTCTTAACGAAAAATATTTTTACACTACTATATATTCTAACAACAAATTCGCACAAACTATGCACTTTTAAAATGGCCTAAACAAAATTTATAAATACATTTAAATTTGGGTTCTAATCATGACATTAATATTTCTCAATGATTTTATAAAAGTATCAATTTATTTATAAGAGGTAGGTATAAAATAGCATTCTGATTTACTAAAAATTTTATATTTTATTGAAATTTTTTAAATAATCATTAACAGGACTAAATTTAATTTCTCACTTAAGTTAATGAACTATAAATTAATTAATGAGTATCAACTTTTATTAACAATATAAATTCAAATTTGATAAGTCTAAATACATTTACTTTAAGTTAAACAATAAATAGTATTTAATAAGTTTTTAATTACAAATATTCTGTTAGTCCATTTATTTATATTTAATAGTTAACTTTTTCAATAATTATTATACAATTGAAAATCAATAAGAGAAACTTACAATTGTACTATAAACGAAGATGGTGGATTTTTGAAATGTCAGTAATAATATAAATTCATAATTTACTTAATATAAAATTAATTTTCTTTAAATCAAATATAAAAAATAGTAATAATGTTAAGTTATTAAAAAATTTTTATTGACAATATATTTCGTACTTTAGTGAATATTCAACAGTTATTCAATCAACGTTTTTAAGCATTTTAAAAATTATGCAAATTTATTTTTTATGTAATACTTGATTCTTATTTTAAACTATTTAGATATCAGAGAAGTATCCATGTATCACAGAGTCCATAAGTGGTGTTTACTACAACTACAATGATTTTACAAAAAATGATTCTTAATTTAGAAAAAAATATTATTCATGACAATATGTCAACATGATAGAGTTCAGAATGATATAAAATTTTCCTAACTTTTATAACTTTATAATTTTGTCAAAATATAAATTCTAAAATAAAAAGATTATACGAATTTCTGATGAACTTTTTTTAATTAAAGCAAAATATATTTTCACTAGAATGAAATATTTATGTATATATATTTAAATATCACATTCTTTCTAAATCATTGCCACAAATAATTTAAAATTTGTTAAAATACTTTTTGGTTTAAATTTATAAAAAAAATCTTGCTAGTAACATATTTTTTAAAAGTGTAGTTTTTAGAAACTAATTTCATGCATAATTTACATTATTCTACAATAATCATAAATTATGAGATATAAATATATACTTTTATGGGATTTTAGTTACAAAATATAAAAGTAAGTGCAGAATACAATTTTTTAAACATTAATTAAACACCTCCAATTATTGTGTACATCATGTTTCATTGTTACCTCATAATGATTAATTTCATTTACAAAATTCATAAAATTTCCAAATACAATAAGCTGTTGATACAGCAGTTATAGTAGTATGAATAATTTTTCTATTAGTATCACTACCTCGTTCGATAACTACGGGCAGAGGTGGAGTATTATCTTCTTTTTGTAATGATTTCAATCGAGGATCTTTATGCACTTGATATTTGCAACAAGGATCAAATTGCCAAGATACCATATACAATCCAGTGCACACAAAAGATGTTAAAACTAGAGGACAGTAAATGAATGGTTTCGACTGCCAAAAATATGCTGCAAAAATGAAAAATATTTATGTCCTAACTAAAAATTTTAATTCTTTAAAGTGTTCTGATATCAGAAAAGGAGAAAATACCTTCAAATGAATAAAATATCTAGTATCTAGTTTAGAGTTCAAATAAATTAAAAAATTAGGGAGAAAAATTATCTTGTTTTGCTCTAAAACTACTAAAAATTTAATTATTATTCATTTCAATGGTAAAATAAACAAATTTTTACCAACATTTACAACCAACATTTTTTTTAAATACCACTGTTTTTTTGAAAATATGTTATTGGCATTAAAAGTTGCGATTTGTAAATAATAATAAAAAATAAACACTATAATGAGATATCAAAAATTTTTATGAAACAATCACTAAGTACTATTATGATAAAAAGTATTACAATATTTTTTGGAGTTCTGACAAATATAGTATCAAAAAAAAATAGCAAAAGATTATCATAGATAGATATCAAAAATTCTAAAAAATATTTGGTTATTTTATAATATATATAAATCACTTGAATGTTTGGTAATAGCAAAATATCAAACCTATTCCAACAGATAGAACTCCAGAAGAAATTGCAGTTTGAGATAAAAAATTTCCCACAGATATCCACCGGACTGTTTCATCTGCCAATTGAGTTGGTTCAATTATAATATATTTATAGCCTGCTTCCAATGCATTATCTAATTCTTGTTCAAATATTTCTTGTGAGTTATCATTCTCACAAACTTCTCTTATAATAGCAGTATCTTCTTGATTTATAATTCTGTTATCAAACATTTAAGATATTATTAAAAATAGGTCATATTTTATATAGCATTTAGCATTATTAGATTAATTTAACTCACTCGTATGAAAGCATTTTCTAAAAAATAAAGTGGTCGTTAAAAATTTCTAATCACTATGTTATACTTCATTACTAAGTTTATCTATATAATTTCTTAAGTTCTTAAAATTGATTTATCATTTTTTTAATAAAATTATGAGTGAACAATGTTCATGGCAATAATGAATAACATGAATCGGGCCTTAGTGGCAGGTGCGGTCCTGTAAAGTAATATTAAAAAAATATATCAATCATCACAATTGATCAAAATTGAATATCTGAAGATATTAAAAGATTAAAAATATAATTTACACAACGACATTGAAAGTAACAAAAAAAAAAAAAAAATTGAACCGTTCATTTGATAAGAAAGAGCTGATTAAATTTAGAGTCATGGAAGAAAGATTGTAGGACTACTAATTCCTCCACTAATTATGAGTCATACGGTAATACAGAAAAATCTCTATATCATACAAATTTTCTATTTTTAAACCTTTTTTTAATACTAAAAGATCTAAATTAATAAATTAAATAATTTTATATAAATGGAAATGATAACGAAATTAAAAAGAATGTTACTATCGCAAGACACTGACATACAGGTAATATTTGAAAAAACATCGCCATTAACCTAAAATATTATTTTCCTATACCATTATAATTATTGTTTATTTATATTCTGTACATTCCAAATCAAATTTAAAGAATTGACGACTAAACTATACAAAGTTGTTTAGTACATTCTGGAACAAATAATTCATACTATAATTTATGTTTTTATTATTTACAAGTTATTTATAGAAAATTAATTTTTAATCCATTTTTAAATAACAAATATTTTTAATGATACTTAAATATACTCATGATCTTAATAATAAATTACAAAAAGAGTACAGTTATAGACAGTGCCAATAATCTAGTAAAAGAATCCCTTTTGATTCAAATTTGAAATATTTTTAAATCTTCCCCTAGTATAAACTCATTTTAACTTGATATTTTATTTTATTTTATTTATTTACTTTTATGCTGCTGTTTTCAGGAAAAATGTATACGGTTTATAATTCATGTATTAAGAGATTCGACGCAATTTGATTATATAAGTACCATGTTTTTAGATGACGACCTCATTCAATTTTTATGTGAACCTCTTCTTTCGATAAAAACTCCACTACTGCAGTAACTAATATAAAAAATATTGTAAATTTGAATATTCGTTCATTAATTTCGATAAAATCATACATATTTAATATCAAGGTTGGGTATAAATGAGATAACAAGTTAAAGTTGAACTTTTTAGCTTAATAAAGATACTTAGATTTTACGTTAACTTAATTTTTCTTTTGTTCATTAAACAGAAAATTAACATACATTTTTGGTATTTTTCATTAAATGCCTCCTTAAAAAATCTATATTGAAAAAAATTTTTTTTTTTTCAATTTTTGAAAAATTATTATTTATTTCAAACTAATGCCAGATGAAAGGAAAAAGAGTACAGTAAAATAGATTTAAAAAAAAGTTAAATTAGTTTAAATGTAATATAGATAAAACATACTACAAGAATATTATTAAATACTATACATTTTAGATACAAAATTTTAATTTGACAATTATCAAACTTATCTTAATCATTTAACTAATAATAAATATTTAATAGACTATTCATCTGTTCATTGATAACATAGTTTTTAGTTTGGTATTCAACATGAATAATATTATGATACTGTGTATTAACATAAAGTACTGTACAAGTAGCTTTCAAGAGAAGTTCTAGGCTATTGACAAAATCATTTAAAATTTGAAAAATATGACATGCATCATTATATAAACATCTCGATTAAAAAAAAAATATTGAATTTAAACGCAATAAATTTAAGAAAAATTTTTTTTATTTATTCTATAAGGCCTAATTGTTTAGAATTCCATACCACAAATGTAAATTCTAATCCAAAGCGTACTAGAGCAGAATAAACACTATAAAACATTGAACATCTTTAAAATTACCATAATTACGTTGATTAAAACCTAAGTTGCGATTGGTTTTTGCACATAATATATCAATGTGTTTTAAAACAAATCAGATAACAATATAACTCAATCTTACATTATAAATTATCTTAGCTTAGTATTATTTATGTAATAGTCATTCATTATTGGATAGCAACATCGGTAAAGTGGTATCAACATTAGCCGGTAAATCATTATCAATATACCAATTAACAAATCTGTTTTAATCTTCGTGCAATTATAACACTCATTATCATTATTGATATGTAATAATGTAATTACATCATATTGTTGTCTCCGTGACAACCATATTATGTTATAGAAACTGCGTGTATCTCATTTTTTTTTTAAACAAAATTATTCAAGAGGAATAAAATAATACACTATTATTTTTGCTAATAATAAAAATGAGTTTATTAAAACTACATTTTCACAAGAAATAATAGAAATTTATTTATTCTAAAAATTTTTAAAATATGTCACATTGTAAATAAGTATTTCCAAAAAATAAAAAAAAATCTAAAATTGTCAAGATACACAATTTTGACGTAAATACGTCCATTTCCGTAATTTCCATTAGTTTGCATAAAAATAAACTACTTTTTGGAAAAAAAAAATAACCTCAAATTTTTCCATATAATTTTTTGTTTGAAAAATAATGTTTTTGTCGTATAAAAAACATTTAAAAGGAAAAAGATTATCAGCCTATGAATGATATTTTTGCAAACCTACTAGTACTTATATTCACTTATTTAATTTAATGAAATATATTTTCAAATTAACTTTTAACTTAATTTGTTACAAAAGTTACGGAATAAGTTTAACAATTATTACTTTAACAAGTTAAAAAAATGATTAACTTGACCAGCCTTGTTTAAGACTAATTCATTACATTAAAAAAATAACTAAAATGAATTACCTTTAAATATAAAAACCCAGCACAGGGGGTCGCGGCACAGTGGTGACGTGGCATAGTTGGATCAAGTATAATGATATCTGACAGTGATTAAAATCACTATCAAAAAAAAACGCTTCGATGCAAATCTTTAGATAGTGTTTAATTTTAAAAAATTGGTGGATTATTCCAAAAGCTTCATAAACTGCTAGTTCCTTATTAATATCCTGATTAAGACAAAGTATGTCGAATAAAAAAGAGATTATTAGAAAATAGTATTTCCCATAAAAAAATTATATTGATCAATACACTTTTCAATAAGTTATAGCATTATAATGTTAAAAATGTAAAAAATAAAATTGAGAATTTTCACACAATAATAGCATTTGGTAGCCATTTTCACCTTGAAGATAAAATAAAGTCCGAAATTTTTTTTTTCCATGATAAAGTATATTACATTAGCTTTAATTTAAGATATATATAAAAGTGTCAGACTTTCCGGAACACTTTCAAAATTTAAGTTGAAAAAGTCAATTTTTTGTGAAAAAGTTGTCATTTTGAATCCCCCCCTGTAGGCAGGTAAAAAGTCAGATTTATAAAAAAAATATACCAAATGATAGGTAAAGACATCATGCATCTACAAAAAAAAGAATTATATTGATCCATACATCTTTCGAGAAGTTATAGCATTATAAAGTTAAAAATATAAAAAAGAATTTTTTTACAAAAATCGTATTTTTTTTATTAAGTTTAATGTCTGTTTTCACCATGAAGATAAAATAAAGTCCGAAATTTTTTTTTACCATTATAAAGTATATTACATTAGCTTTAATTTAAGATATATATAAAAGTGTCAGACCTTCCGGAACACTTTCAAAAGTTACGTTGAAAAAGTTCTACTTTCTATATGCATTTTTATGTTTTGAATCCCCCCTGTATTTAGGGAAATGGTCCGATTTAAAAAAACAGTATGTCGAATGAAAGATCTATATAAATACTACTTATCATAAAAAAATTGTAATGATTCATATATTTTTCAAAAAGTTATAGCATAATAAAGTTAAAAATGGAAAATACAAAATCGAAAATTTTCACACAAAAATAGCATTCGGTAGCCATTTTCACCATGAAGATAAGATAAAGTCCGAAATTTTTTTTT